CACATTGCTCTTAAAATTGCCGAGTGCTGGAGTCTTATTGTTTTGGATATACTCTGGAGCTCTTGGAATAGGGATCTTAAGCTTAGGCACAGATATCAAAATTTGGAGTTCAGAAAGTGCTGCTCCTATATATTTAGTTGAGCCCTCATTTTAAGAGGTTATGGATTAGAAATATGACCCTGCCATGCTATTCTTTCCTCTCAGCTGTCCTTTCCTTATGCCCATTGTATCTTAATAATTCGACAATGATTAGTCTACCCATTGAAACTTGTCTTTATTTATATTTATCTTTTCATCCTTGCGCTGGATCTCAATACCTGGGTGCCGACTGCCGACATTTTTTTTTTACCTCTTTCCATGATATCTGCAGTTTTCTATTCTGTGGGATTTATTTGACTGGTGAATTGTGGGTAAACTAGCTTAATGCCAAAGACTGGCAAATGTCCCCCTTCCAAGAATTAAAGGTAGTTTATCCACTATTATCCTTACATACTCTTTAATGCAACCTATTTGCCCTGACAATGACATACACACTTACTTCTTTTAACATTACCCACTCTTACTATTGTCTCCGAGACTTCCCCATGCTGCACCTGTCTTATGGAAGTTCGTATTGCTCTCTGTCAAGCTCTCCAGTTAATCTTTAGATGCTTAGTTTCTCTAAAGAATACAGAAAGAGGCAGTATCTCAGGGACTTGATGCAGCCTGGTGAAGCATTAAGCCATTTTCAGGAATCTATCAAGCAAAACCGTAAGGGGATGAGTAATAAGCTTTTCTCAAAGGGTAGGTACCATTCCAAAAACACTGCTCTAAACAATTCTAAGGGTGATCTAGTTTTAGTGACTTCCAATAATATGTAAGATTAGGCACAGTCACTTTTCTTCTCAACAATGGGCCTTGCTCATCATTATATTATTCTTCTTTAAAGAATGCACTTGACTTCCATCTCTGTCACAGCCTAATCCTGTATTAGTCCTCAAAGCCATCTGTATCAGTCTGTATATGTAAAACATGTCATATTTTTCAAGAGAGTGGTCAAATTGTAAGCATGTTTATATTGTAGCATTGGTATATTTAAATGAAAAAATAATAAATGATAGACAAATGAATGAAGAAACAGGTAAACACGTGTATCCATCATTGTTTACATTGCTAAAGTATTTCAGTCCCAAATGTTTTACTTTTCACCCTACCAGTTTTACAGATCATTCTGGATTTTCAGCAAATAATGGATATGTAAAAATCTTTTCATTATCACCATAATTCAGTCAAGAAATGTCCCCTCAAGCCTATCCCTTTAACTTGTTTTCTTTCTCCCAACCTTCCCTTTTCCAGTGTTTCTTTCAAAGAGACCTGTGCCTCAAGCATTACTGTGAGGGGCCACTTCATTTAGAGAAATGCTTTTCAAACCTGCCTTTGAGCCTACCAAAAATCAAGTATTTCATGATATCCTTGCTTATCTACAAATCCTGACCGTCTGGTTGATTATGAAAACTGTCTTGAAGAGCAGTAGGAGACAATTCAGACAAAGGCACAGATGCCTACCACACATGCAAATGTCCTTGATCTTCCAACTAGAGCAAACTGCACACGAATCTGGGACTAAGAGGGCTATTTAATATATTGAGAATTCAATGTTACAAAATTACATAGGCTGAAAAGAGACATGCGTTCAGCCTTTCTCGTATGTTCATCCTTTCTCATATGTTCAGCCTTTCTCGTATGTTCAGCCTTTCTCGTATGTTCAGCCTTTCTCGTACGTGTTTTTGCTACTGATACAAAAGAAGGCAAGAAAAATAGTTTGAAGCGCGTTAAAATTTGGCAACAAACTAAGAAAAAATTATTTCTTGACCCCAGAATGGCAGTCATATCTCTCCTTGGATCAAGAAGCTATTACCCCACAAATGAAAAATGATATCCCTGAATATTATGTTTCTCCAAGTATTCATCCAGTTTCTGTTTAAACATCTGTACAGACTCTGAAAAAACCAACTCTTCAAGCAGATAATTCCACATCTTTATTGTTTTTAGTGTGAAAACCTCTTTCCTAAATCTCCTTTCTTACAATCTGAATGTGTGACTCCATGCACTATGTATAGTCCTCTTTATAAATAGATTGCAATACAATGGAATATACCCGTATATACTCGAGTATAAATCGACCCAAATATAAGTCAAGACCCCTAATTTTACCCCCAAAAACTGGGAAAACTTATTGACTCGAGTATAAGACTAGGCTGGGAAATGCAGCAGCTACTGGTAAATTTCTAAATAAAATTAGATCCCCCAAAAATTATATTAATTGAATATTTATTTACAGTGTGTGTATATAATGAATGCAGTGTGTGTGTGCGTGTATGAATGTAGTGTGTGTGTATGAATGTAGTGTGTGTGTGAGTATATGAGTTCAGTGTGTGTGTGTGTGTATGAATGCAGTGTGTGTATGCATGCAGTGTGTGTATGAGTGTAGTGTGTGTGTGTATGAGTGCAGTGTGTGTGTGTATGAATGCAGTGTGTGTGTGTGTGTATGAATGCAGTGTGTGTGTGTATGAATGCAGTGTGTGTGTGGATGAATGCAGTGTGTATGAATGAGTGCAGTGTGTGTATGAATGCAGTGTGTGTGTGTATGTGATGCAGAGCCTTGGTGGGTGGGTGGGCATTTTTATTATTTTTTTATATTATTATTATTATTATTTTAATTTTTTTATTTTATTATTATTTTTATGTTAGCTGCTTTTTAGCTGGCCAGGGAGGGGGGCTCTCATTACCTGGTGGTCCAGTGGTGTGCACTGTGTAGGAGGGGGGCTGGTAGAGAGCTGTTACTTACCTTTCCTGCAGCTCCTTACAGCTCCCTTCTCTCTCCTCCGGTCCGGTCAGCTCCCCTGCAAGTCTCGTAGTGTGAGTGCAGCGCGGAGCGTTTCCACGGTAACCCGTGGCAACGCTCTGACCCCACTGCTCTCGCGAGACTTGCAGGGGAGCTGACTGGACCGGAGGAGAGAGAAGGGAGCTGACAGGAGCTGCAGGAAAGGTTAGTAAATGCTTCCTGCCAGCCCCCGACAGGACCGCCGGGCTTGTAATGAGACAGGCGGTCCTTGTCTGTATTATGGCAATGTAAGTTACCATAATACAGACAGTGACTCGAGTATAAGACGAGTGGGGGGTTTTCAGCACAAAAGATGTGCCGAAAAACTCATCTTATACTCGAGTATATACGGTATTTGTATAATGCTATCATATCCTCTATGAGGCGCCATTTCACAAAACTAAACAGATTTGTCTCTGTTAACCTTTCTTCATAAGTAAAATGTTCAATCCCTTTTATTAAGTTTGTAGCCCGCCACTGCACTTTTTCCTTCTTCTATCCTTCTTTTGAACAAAATTCAAGGTGTGGTTTTACCGTTGATTGATTGATAAAGAGACAAATTTATATTTTCATCCTGAATATAAAGGACCCTTTGCAACTGCTGATTGATATTGGACATTGTTGCCTAATTATTTTGTCTGTAACAATTCCCAAATCCTTCTAGTTTGTTGTTATCTCTAATTCACTACTGTTTAGGGTGCAAGTTGTTTGTGCATTCTTTACCCTGAAGTGCATAACTGTGCATTTATCTTCTTAAGTTTTATCTGCCATTTGAGTGTCCTGTCTATGTAAATCACTCTGCAAGTGAAGTGATTAAGTAATATCCTGCTCACATTGTATTACTTTACAGTGTTTTGTGTCATGTGCAAACACTGAAATATAACTATCAATGCCTATTTCAAGATCATTTAGAAAGCGAATTTCAAATTTAAGTCCACAGAACTGAAAGCATAGGTGACAGATAATTTTTCAAGTTTGGCTATTTTGATCTCAAACTTGAAATTTGAACTTTAGTAAATAACCCTGTTACATAGTATCTTTGCACATCCTTACAAATACTTGGTGTTATGGTATTGTATGGTAATTGATTTTGTGTCTCGGCATTAAGTAATATTATATACAAGCTCTCTTTTTCAGCCTTGATTGCGAATTGTCATATATCTGTTATCCTCAGTTTTGCAGCAGGGGCACTTCAATTGATTGTTTTACTTACTCAATATGTAATTGTGTTGGAAACTAACTAAAAACATAGCATAAGCAGAAAAGCAAGTTGCAAAACTTAAACCAAAATAGCAGACTGGTAATATGTTGTATAGACAATGTACTGGTTCGTATTACTCATCCTCATGTTTTTACCATACTTTATTACAAAGGTTTTTGGGACTTTTGGTCAGCTGAATAGCTTCAAAATCAAATGCTCAAACTCATAGAACATCCTAGTAATAAATAAAATATCTGAAATACTTGGAATTAAGGCCTCTATAAAAATGACAGGGGTGGAGCATTAAACGTATGTACCCTTATCAGCTCTAGTCCATGATACATCCTGTTATTAAGTATCGGATACTAAATAAGCACACACTCACAGATTTACCTTCCATATTAAGGTAAACATTATATAAATATGATTCTCCAATGGGAACCCTAAACTTGTTTTGGTAAGATGGTCTCTCCACTTTCTGATACAGGCCAATGAAATACTATACAAATCCCTTTTTTGTTGCTTTTTTGTGATAAACCCCAAAACTTCACTTTCCCACATATTTACATTTCACTAACTTACAAATTACTCAAATGGTTCTTTACCAACCAAGAGGACCGACCAAATTGATCCGATGTTCTTTTTTTAGTAGCTTACTGCTGACATTACATACCTAAGGGTCTGTATGACAACAAATCTGAATTAAGTTTATCAGGGCAACTTTCCCCCAATGCTGAACTCATTTAACATAAACCTCTGGGCAGTTATCAGTGATGAAGATGAACCTTCCCCCACATTTGCTTTACTTTCTCCAAACGCTCCCTACTTTTTTACCTCATTACATGTGAGATTTACCATGGGTAAACAGTTGCTTTTTTGATTGCATAGTTCTAAATGTTAATAGACATTCTATTTCAGGGGTTGGCAACCTATGGCATGGCACACAGGTCATATCGACCAGATGGGGAGGTCAGAGGATCTCACCAACCGGCCCAGGTACTAAGCATCCAGCAAATGCAGACACCATAGTGGTTGCTCATGGACCCTCAGAGTCTGGTGCTTCTCTGTGATTCAGAGCATTGCTGCATGTTACCATGGTAATGCCCTGAGTCACTGGTAAAGCACCAGAGTAAAAGGCAGAAGGGCTGGTGCAGAATGCAAGTTCCACCCAATGACCACCAGGGTTTAAAGAGGATTCATACATGCATCTCTAAACAAATGCAGGCAAGAAGAGCAATAATTAGTTTATAATAATTTTATTAAAGGGCCCCCTATAGCACTCATAAAAACACCCACAAGCACAACAGACACATAAAACTACAGGCACAAGACAGCCCACACACATACTTCCTCAAATAGCCCACACAAAAACACAAGACAGACTGCCCATGCACATGCATAACACATCAGGAAAGCCACATACACATACAAAATACCACAGACAATCTGCACCACACACAAAAATATTACAAGCAAGCCACATGCATTTGACTTCAAAGGCAGCATACATAAAAATCCTAGAAGGTCCATATCCTCCTGGTAACCAAGGAAAAAATGTGTCTTTCAATTTCTTTCTATTTTTAATTAAAGTGAAGAGGAAGTTCCCAACATCCCAGCCTATCACATGACATATCAATGGAAAGACCAGGATGTCCTTTTTACAATACAGCAGGGATTGATAAAGTAGCTCAAAAGGATAAAAGAAAATACATGTGAACGAAATGTCCAGTACAGAGGACACATGTTAATGGGCTGGGTCTTAGGAGGATATACATAACACAATAGGCGGCATCATAGTTACACACAGACAAACAGTACCACAAACAGCCTACATGTAACACTACATATATGGATGTATCCACTATACACAAATACTACCATCAACTTACATAAATACACTTATCACAGGCAGCTCAACACATACACACCACAAACTGCTCACACACATACTTCACACACCGTGCAGCATACATAAACACACAAACACCTATATCACAGTTCACATGCATTTGCATAAGACCACAGACAAACTGGGCACACATGCATAACACAACAAGCTACATAATCCAGCAATGCCCGTCCCAAATTTCCAGCAATGCCCATCTGGATCCACCCCTGACTCCTCAAGATCACATTGCTGACAGCGAGTATAACAAACAACTGGCAGCATTCTATTTGACAGTGATACTGCACTTACCAATAAAGGTGGAGAGTTTTAGAATATGGGTGCTCCAAATATAAAAAAGGCCACCTGTGGGCCCTCCACAAATGTTGATGAGGTGGTTGCGAGGTACCACTGAGCTGCACTGTCAGGCAGATAGTCCCCAACTCTATCTTTAGAGTCCCACATTCTGGCTTCAGCCATTTAAGTCCACCCTTAATTTTTTACTTTCTCTTATCTTCTTCCCTGACAATCTCTTTCCCAATACCATTAGTCTCTCGCTCTCTCCCAGTTTGTTTTTTGCCCTGTGCTATCCCACACTCAATGTAACCCTAATCTGTTTCACTCTTCTTTCTTTTATTCTACCCTTATGCCCCATTACCCTTCCAAGTATGCCCTCTCGTCCATGACATGTAACCCTCTCCACTCCAACCAGGATTCCCTGTTATCTCCTATTCCATCTTTTACATGTTTTTTTACCCATCCACTGCTGTGTACTAGCCTCTATACCCCCCTTTATCATTTTATTTATATTACAACCAACCTTTATTTTGCCATCCTCCTGTCTTGTGCATCCTCCTCTCAAACTGTTATTAATAATGTGTTTTAAATTGACACTTCAAACCTCCTCTCCCATGGCACTGTGATAGACTGTGGGGGGATCCTGTGACAAAGAAAGGCACAGACAAATAATTTTTATTATTAGTGACAGCAGATGAAGTTCACCTGTTCATCAGCACTGTAAAAGTCATTGGCTTGAATGAGAATTATGATTTGACTAAAGGATCATGATTAAATGTTTGATTAAGGTAAAATTTGTCTTTGCTGGCCTTTTAACCAAAGGTGGAACCTCTTGTGGCGCAATCCTCCATTGACATTAATTATAGAAGTAGTAGGTAACGGCTATTCAAAGTGGATTTTAAAATTGACCCTTTTAGTATTTGGAGTTATAGCATCACATTTCTATTTCTCACCTTTATTGAGCACCACAATATTATATAAAAAAATATGTAAATTTTCTAAATATATATATATCTATATATATATTTTATTTTTTTAATGCTTTTTAACTAGGAATGAACACATACAAACTATTGAAGATGGAGGAAGGGACAGGAATTAGGTAAGAAGGATCCTTTGCCCTAGCACTTCCAATTAATTTTCTTTTTACGTTTTGAAGCAGCTTTTCCCAACCTGTGGTAAGCGAACCCCAGGGGTATGAACCAGTGTATTCCTGTGTCTGTGTAACTTATGTGTGTCAGTTTTTTTATCTGTGTGGCTGTGTATCTGCATGTGTAGCAGTGTTTGTATCTGTGTGTCTGTGTTTCTGCATGTGTGGCAGTGTGTGTCTTGTGTATATATATATATATGTGTGTCAATCTTCTGTGTGTCTGTGTGTCTGTGTCTCTGCATGTTTGTCAGTATTTGTATCTGTGTGTCTGTATCAGTATGTGTGTCAGTTTTTTAATCTGTGTATCTGCATATGTGTCAGTGTGTGTATCAGTGTTTATGTGCAACTTTATGTGTGTCAGTGTTTGTATCTGTGTGTCTGTATCTGCATGTGTTTCAGTGTGTGTGTGTGTCTTTTTACCTCTATGTGTGTCAATGTGTGTATCTGCTATCTCTCTCTCTCTCTGTCTGTATATATGTGCCTGGGAAGAGGAGAAGCAGGGAAAGCCTGAGCAGAGGAGAAGCAGGGAGAGCCCAGAGCAGAGGAGAAGCAGGGAAAGCCTGAGCAGAGGAGAAGCAGGGAGAGCCCAGAGCAGTGGAGAAGCAGGGAGAGCCTGCGCCAGAGGAGAAGCAAGGAGAGCCTGCACCAGAGAAGAAGCAGGGAGAGCCTGAGGCAGAGGAGAAGCAGGGAGAGCCAAGGGCAGAGGAGAAGCAGGGAGAGCCCAGAGCAGAGGAGAAGCAGGGAGAGCCTGTGCCAGAGGAGAAGCAGAGAGAGCCTGCGCCAGAGAAGAAGCAGGGAGAGCCTGAGGCAGAGGAGAAGCAGGGAGAGCCTGTGCCAGAGGAGAAGCAGAGAGAGCCTGCAGCAGAGAAGAAGGAGGGAGAGCCTGAGGCACAGGAGACGCAGGGAGAGCCAAGGGCAGAGGAGAAGCAGGGAGAGCCTGGGGCAGAGGAGACGCAGGGAGAGCCAAGGGCAGAGGAGAAGCAGGGAGAGCCTGGGGCAGAGGAGAAGCAGGGAGAGCCTGTGCCAGAGGAGAAGCAGAGGGAGCCTGCGCCAGAGAAGAAGCATGGAGAGCCTGAGGCAGAGGAGAAGCAGGGAGAGCTAATTGAAAATGAGAAACAGGGAGATCCTGTGGTAGAGGAGAAGCAGGGAGAGCTGAGGCAAATGAGAAACAGGGAGAGCCTGGTGCAAAAGAAGAGCAGTGATGCCTAGGGCAGAGTAGAAGCAGAGAGAGCCTGTGTCAGAGAAGAAGCAAGGAGAGCCTGTGGCAAATGAGAAGCAGGGAGAGCCTTGGGCAAAAGAAGAGCAGGGGAGCCTGGGGCAGAGAAAAAGTAGGGGAGGCAAGCGCAGAGAAAAACATATAAATTTGAAATAACAGCAGCTATATTAATTACAAACCATTGTGATAATATGAGTACAATATGGTATAATTTAGAGCCTGGGAAGAGGTAGAGCAGGGGAGCTTGGGGCAGAGGAAGAGTAGGGGTGCCTGGAGCAGAGGAAGAGCGGGGGAGCTGATGGCAGAGAAAGGGGGGAGATGGGGCAGAGAAAAGGAGGAGATGGGGCAGAGAAAAATGTATAAATCAGAAGTAACTGCAACTATATTAATTACAAACATTTCTCTAATATGAGGGTGCATTTTATGGAAATGGGCTGCCAAGGGAAACACAAGTGAAAAAGACTGGGAACCACTGTTCTAAAGGAAAATTCATGCATTCATTCTCCCACCCCTCCCCTAGGAAAGCCCATAGTTACCATACCTGTATTTAAACTCAAGCTGCTTGCAAAACAGATACTATTCTGCAGCGACAGTGGACAATACAAAAATGGACAGGAAACTACACAAACAGAAGGTATTTTCTTTACTTAAATTTTTGATAGTTTGTATTTTTTTAACAAAATTCCAAACCTTTGTTAAATACAGGCATTTGGATATCTGACTTGTGCAAGAATGTTCACAGTGATCTTTAACTTACTTTTTTTCTGAAAAGTTAAACAATATATATATCAGAAAAAATACATATAGGTTAAAGGAAGTTGGCTCTTTGATTTGTATATTTTGTTAAACTCCGTTTATTTGTGCAATGTCGAAGATGTTTTCTTGCCTTGTCTCAAATGAGTATTCAACCCGTTGAAGATATTTTGAATCAATTAAAATAACGCAAACACATTTCAGCGTGTTAAAAACAAAACAAACAAAAAAAGATATCAATTTGTAGTTTTGTTTAATGAGAAAAATATTAAAATAAAAAAACATTTTAAAAAAAACCATAAAACAGTGCCTGATGAAATATGATTTATCTATAGTTACAGGTATTTTTTTTTTACTGTAAACAACTGCAATGTTTGTGGAGTTGTGAGCATTTTGGTAAAAATAAATTAAGGCACTATAGACTGAATAGATACATATTATCCATGCTGGCTTTACAGACAGTTCACGAGCTTCCCAGAAAATGTTTCTCAATAACATGGTTCTTTTTTTATATAATTTATTGTAATTATCAATAGAGTTTCAGGATAATGAGAATGACAAAAAGTAGCATTTACATATACTACAGGCGGTGAGCCAATGTAAAAACGGAACAATTCAGATGTAAAGTAAAGTGTTTAAAATCAGGTTTTTAGCAATGTGGTATGCTTCAGGGAATATGGCCATTAAGTACCTACTTATAATATTCATTGAAACACACGTATGAATGAATCCCAATGCTATTTGCCATGTAGATTGGTTTTATTGTTACTTTTAAGGCACATAGCTTGTATAATGTAAAGGTGCTCTTATATTTTTGCATATTACGATTTTAAAAAATCCGAATTTGAAAAGAAATGTAAAGCAGTTCTTGTTCTTTTATGGCGTTTTCATGTTTGTTCACGGTATCTCCACACGTTTCAGTTTTGCATTGGTTAATGTAGCTTGTAAGGCCATATATATCTATATATATCAAGGTAAAACAGGTGTTGTTCCGGACAAAGTACTGCATAAAGAACGATTACTTGCACTTAGCACTTTGCTCCAGAATACTTGTATTTTGCTTTCATGAGCATGTCCCAAGGCATCTCTGGAGTGTAGTAAACAATTTGTCCTCAAACAACGCAGTGCCTCAAAAACATAACATAACATTCACGTACTTTTTAACCCCTTAAGGACACATGACATGTGTGACATGTCATGATTCCCTTTTATTCCAGAAGCTTGGTCCTTAAGGGGTTAAAGGTCCCTTACCTGTAGCTTGGATAACTGGATTCTTCTGGCTGTTGTTAGATTGTCATGCTCAGTACACAACAATGAGATTTGTAGCTTAGTAACATTTGGAGAAATACAGTTTCCAAAACTGAATTACTTAGAGTGGTGTCTTCCTTTCTATTAATATGTGTGAGAATCTTCTGTCGATCATTAACGAAAAAAAAACTTAATAATGGAAAATGTGTGTGTGCACGTGTACTGCAGTCATCTAAAATGAACATTCACATTTATTTTCAGATGAGCTATTAGAAAGGAGATGGAGCTTTTTTTAATTAAATGTTTTGCTTTTTTCCCATTAATGGTGTACTGAGAATTGCTTCTAAATCTTTGCAAGTAATTCAGTATGTCCCAGTCCTGCCTTAGATTAGGACCCTAGGCTGCATTATTACCTGTTCATTATAGGAAATCATTGCACATATGACAACACCATCCATGTAACATAGGATTGAAAAACACACTCTATCTGTTAAAATAATTGAAACATACTGTAATACATACATATCATTTAACATCATTAATAATTTTATTTCATGTTATCATGAAATAATATCTCCAAATATTTGAACTTTATATTGTTGAACTTTAACTCCAATAATTATCTGCTAAATACTGTAAGGCAGAGAATTTTGGGAGTAGTCATGCATTAAAAGCTATTCAAAAAATTTCTAATGCTAAAGGGTTCCTTTTTGCCTTTAGATTAGATTCCCTCTAGATTAGCCTCCTAAAAATAAGTTATTAACCTTCAATCCAGCAATGAGAGGGTTTCCACGCCACGACTCTACTTCGTCTCTAGGAGGTCATTTTTAGTGATCTACAGGCCAATTTAATAGATAAGCATTGGGAGGCAGGGTGCATGCACAGCATTCACCACACTATCCAGGTAATGCTTCTCATAGAGGAACATTGAAAACAATGAGAAGCCCTCAATTCAGTGAGGTGAATGAAGAAAAGAACTCCTATTCTTAGAACCCTTAGAAACCTTAGTCTGTAACTATATGAAATTAAGCTCCAGAAAGTCAAAGTGGTTTTGGGGTTTGGTAGTTTTAAGCTTTCTCTTGGTACATTTGAGACTCTCGTGAAACCACATTACAGTTTACACCGATTATCAAATATCTAAAGTTTTGTTTTTTTTTACTTACTTTCTGTCTGAATATTTGGGGGATTTAAATATAATTAAAGTCCCTCTTGGGTATGTCATGAACTATATATGTTACGATCTTAGGTTTTCTTTTCCAGAACATGAATTGATGTAGCCCCCAAATTGATTTATGAGCTGTTTGGGTTATTTCAGTATTCAAATATAAAATATATATTGATCTGACTTCGATCAAGTGTGTTTTACCAGTTCTGTGTAGTTTACTGTGGATGGAGTTTTATATATCAATGTAAGTAAAGATGAAGTCATGGGAGATACTTTGTGATTAACTTTAACAAGTACCTATGTAAACACTCTGAATCAGGTATCTCAAAGTCTGCCCCCCAATGTTACTGAACGTTAGCTGTCATGATTCTCTGACCTTCTATTGCTTATGCTTACAAATAATTCTGGAAGTTGGAGGCCATCAACATCTGGGGGTGGGGCAGAGTTTGAGATCCCTGCTCTAAAATATTATTGTTACCCTTCTAAAGTACATGGAATTCTGATAACCCTAAGCAGATCTACTAAAGTGAGTATAGTGGGGTCTTTAGCAGTAATGTGATCATTACTATCGGGCCCGTGCGAGACTATTTTGTACCCTAGGCTAGACCAGCTACTAGCGCCCCCCACCCCCATCCAAAACAAAAATTGCCAACTTTGTGTGTCTCTTTCTCTCCTAACTCCTTTGTGTGTCTCTCTTTTCCCTTCCCCAGCCTCTCAATGTGTCAAGCACACTGCACCCCTCACATACATTTAACTCCTCACACATTGTAAACCCACACACAGTGCACCCCTTACACACACATTGCATCTCACAAACACACTGCACCCCTCATGCACACTGTAACCCTCACACGTGCATTAGACTCCTCTCACACAGCACCCTAGCCACACATATTAGACCCCAGACACAACACTACTGAAACTGACCTGTTAACACAAAACACCAAACCACAATCAGCTCACTCTACAAACACGCAATCCCACAAGCAGCCTTAAAATAATACGCTTTTCTGGACCTTTTGTCATCCACAGACCAGTCATATGCAAACATAGCACAAGCGTGTCATTATATGTGCTTGCGCTGCGCCGAACAAATACATGGCCTTTTCTCATGTGAGAGAAGCAGGGCTCTGTACGTTGCACCAACATGCTCACTTTGAGAGGGGGCATGCTTGTCATTGGTGTAGTGCAATTATTGGCATTTGTGCATTTGTGTAACTATTGGCATTTGTGCAATTATTATCAAGATGAATGGTAGCTGGTATTAGCAGCAATCAAGCTTGCTTTTCCAACATGTATTAGTGATACGCCAGAGCACTAACTAACCACCGGGCTATCCTACCATTATCAGGCTCACTCCATGCTAACATATCCATTGTGTATAATTCTAAAGATTTTCTTTTCTTTCTGGTCTTCCTTTTAGACTCTAACTGGAACTCTGGTGTTTTCCGTGTGTACGGCGGTACTGTGCTCCCTGCAGTTCGGATATGGAATTGGTGTAATCAACGCTCCTCAAAAGGTGACTTACTATGCTTTCTGTATTTCAGAGCTACATAAGTAAAATCAGTACTAACAAATCAAACAAGAACCGATGACAGCCTAGTCCTACTGGGTTGAAATCTCTACCTCTTATAGTAAAAGACAAAGAATCAATTAAACCCTAGCTATATGCTAAGATGGTAACATACTTTAGATTAGGGCATGTAGACTGCTAGTGCTGTGAGAATGAGCAGCTGTTACTCTTATCGAGAAAATAAGTGTGACGATGCCCATGTCATATCAGAATGGCTATAAATAACTACAACCACATGACCACCCGTGTTCCTTAACCATTCATCATTGAAACACAGGAGTCTTATTTTCATTAGCTTATTCATGTTAGTATGAGGATTTCCTTATGTTGTGTATTTTTGTAGTGTCCATCAGTTGATGCTGGTGGAAAACAGGTAGTAACCAAGTAGTTTTACTAAATCTGCCCTGATCATGGAGACTGCGGCTTGATAACATCTGAAGGACTATCGGCCTTTAGTGAATATTTAGCCATAATCTTTTATCTTTAAGAACTCAAACTCATACAAAGTGCACCCTGTGGGGACATGAAGCACACACTACCTCCCCCCCCCCACCCCCCACCCAAACTCTAGATTTAGAAGGCAATCTTCCTAGAAATCTCAGGTAACGTTTCCGAAAAGAGTCCCAGGGATGTAAAAAGCTTGCACTCTCAATCTGTATAGCAATCATATAAATTCACAGCCCATATTCTGCTTTTTACTGCATTAAAAATAAATCTAGATTTGTTTTGGTCCCATTTGTTCCCCCACAATATAGACCTATATCTCCAAACACATTCACACTCTTCACCCCTCACATACATTGCACCCCTCACACCCATACACATTGCACCTCTCTCATACACACTGCACACCTCACACACATTGTACCCCTCACACACACTGCACTCCTCACACACATTGCTACCAATGTATATCTACATTATTGCTTTACAATAGCAGCACTTATCAGTCACTGACAGTCTTGCGTTATCAAAAAACACTTTGCTAATTGTTGTGTATTTCTTAAAGGGACACTGTAGACATCCAGACCAATTCAGCTCATTGAATTGGTGTGGGTGCTGTGTCCCTTTTGCACCTAGTGCTGCAATGTAAACATTGCAGTTCCAGAGAACTGCAATGTTTACATTGCAGCACTAAGTCTGCCCTCAGTGACAGTCTACCAGGCTGCCACTGGAGGCGCTTCTGGAATCCAAACGGACTTTTGGTCCGTTATCTAACACTCTGCATGAGGACCTCCCGCATAGGAAAGTATTGAATAATGCTCTCTTATGGGGAAGTCTAATACATGCGCGGATGTTGGAGGGGGAGGAGCGTGGGCGGAGTCTGACCCAGTGCCAAGGGACATCAGCAATGGATTCAGTTAAGTGGCTAAAAATTAGGCTTGCCCAATATTGTAGCCATGGTAGAATACACAATCCAATATATAATACAGTGGTATTCTATTTATTTTGAAGTATTCACTTTTTAAGACATTTAAAGTTGTCAGACATAACAAATGTTTACTTGCAACACATTATAAGAATTGCATAGAAAACAGTCACTTGTTTGGCTGATTAAGTAACCAGTATTTGTTTTATATGTAAAATCTGTTTATATATTCTGAAATAATTCCTAATAAGTATAACACGGCACTGGACAACCAAACTCTTTCCTTTCCGAAATGAAGCCCTAACCTCTATAATACTCAAGTATAATATTGGTATCTTGTTATATATTTTAAACAAAATGTAATTATTTCTCCAAACAGGTCATTGAAACTCACTATGCTCGGGTGTTAGAGGTAAAGATGCCAGACATTAATGTAAACGGGACAGCTGATGAGCCTGTACCATCGTCTGTGACCATGTACTGGTCCCTCTCTGTGTCCATATTTTCTCTTGGTGGCATGGTGTCGTCGTTTTTTGTTGGATGGATAGCAGATAAACTTGGCAGGTCGGTGAAACACAAAACATGGACTCCTCTATTAATTTTTGAACTGAATGACAGAAATTCTAGAAATATTCTTGTGGAAGCTTTAAAATCTATTTTGTACCTTTATCTCCATATATAATAATAAATATGTAATAATATTTGTATTCGTACATTAATGATTAGGGTGCTAATATGTTCTGTAAAGGATATGCTATAATAACAGGTTAATCAATCTCTGAACTACTGACCTTGATTTTTTTTAAATGATGTTTCCACTAGGATCAAAGCTATGATGGTGGTAAACATTTTGGCAGTAATTGGAGCTCTCCTCATGGGCTTGGCACCATTGGGACAGGCACACGCTCTTGTTATTGCTGGGAGATTGATTACAGGATTCTACTGTGGTAAGTAAGACATTGCTCAAAACATGAATGCAATCTGACAATATATGCAATAATCACAAATATATGTATTATTACAATCTAGATTGTAAATTCCAATGAGAATAAGGCCCTCAACTCCACCTATATTGGTGTTGACAAATTTTGCATTGTCTCAGATGTATTGTATATTTTGTCTCTTTACTTGTGCCAATTGTACTCATGTGTACAGCACTGTGGAATATGTTGGTGCTTTACAAACAAAGTATCATAATAAAATAATATAATAATTACCATACACTGCACATCAATAGATTTATTGAGGTCCCACAAGAATCAACAATTCAACCCTAACATAAGAACTTTATAAAGATACAAAATGTAACTTTTCTTTTGACAGAATTAATATACATGGATACATTTTATTAAACAATTTAATAAAATTAATATATTAATTTAGTAAATTAGTAAAAGTTGCATTCAGTACTTACACTCTTTGATACCAGTGGATTTGCTAAAAAAAAATAATTTTAAAGTGTTAGTTCTAGAAGCCAATGTAAAAACATAAATTTTCATTAATTTCTGTTTATGGACAGAAAAAAAAGTCACATTTTAGCTACAAGATTATTAAGTTAAAAATGTATTGGTAAAATTATGCCTATTCTATTTGACGAATTTCCCACACATATGCCATATCTAATAATTCCCCTAAGCAATTGTGCCTATCCAGCATCTGATTGCCATACTTCCCCAACTTGCCTCATATGTTGTGATATTGCCCCACATACTGCCCTCATGTGTTGGGATATTGCCCCTGACTTTTCCCCAGCTGTAGTCATATTGCCATCCGAAGTGTCCTCCATGTTATATGTCACACACCAGGAAACAAAGATATCTGGAAATACAAACATACACACAGAAGAAGACAACCACAGAATGAGACAAAGACACACTAGGTAAACATTCCAGGGGGACACAGACAAACTGGAAAATAGAACTGCAGCACTGCAAGCAGAATCTCCAGAATCTACACTACATATCCCCTCTAGACACACACCACATCCCCTCTACACAAACACGCACACTCTATAGCCTCTACATACACTACATCCCATATACACACACATACACTACAGCCCCCTACATCCACACTTCATCTGTCCACTATACACACACTGTACCCCTTACACAACCACTACAGCACCTATACACATACACACTCTCACTCTCTACAGTCCCTAGACATGCACCATGCACACAACAGTCCCTAGCCACACATACAACACCACAAATGCAACTGAAAGCAACCTATTTACACAAAACACTACATCACAAACAGCTCACTCTACACACATGCAATCCCACAAGCAGCCTCCAAATACACGCACTATACTATTTCCTGACCTTTTGTCCTAATAAGCCAAGTATGGAGAAACCAGAGACAGGTCACAAGCAAACAAAATTAATGACATGCCTGTGCTGTGCAGAACAAACACAAGGCCTTTTTACCATGTGAGAGCTTTTCATCAGATCTCTATGCATGGGCTGGAAGAGCATTAAACTAACATGCTGACTTTGGGAGGACATGTTTGTCTTTGGTGATGACACAACAACATTGTATCTGGTTTAACCCCTTCCTACTGAGTCTCTGTGATAAAAAAAAATCAAAAAAAAAAATCGCAGGGCAATTTTTTTGCCAGTCTGGCCCTCCCATCAAGGTCCTATAATTCCTATAATTCCTGTCACTAAAGGTACTGAATAGTGATTACAACAGGGGATTACTGACAATAAAATTAAAGAAAAGACCAGACGCATGCTATAAAATATAACATTTTTCTTTCTATTAGTAAAGTACCTGTGATTTAAATGGACAATTCACGTAGATAGTCACTTAAAAAATTATTATAACTATCTGGCATAGCACAAAATCACAGTTTTATACATTGTTTATACTGTTGCTATAACCTGCGAAGACCAATCAGCAAGGTGTGGTTGTGGTTGCTATGGTGACAGCTTACACATCATGTGTTTCTGTGCTTATTAGCAAGGGGCCAATCTGCAACTGTTTGGTATCTTTGCGAGTAGATACTATTGGCAGTCAGCTGGTAAAAAAAAATAGAAAAGGTTACCATTTGGTAATTTTCAGCCACTGTTAGCTACCAGCTGTTGTTAATAGCTACAGATTACAGCGGCTACTTACTCTCTAAAATGGAAACATGCCCCAAGTGTCTACCATTTATTTCAACGAATTGTCTTGGAGAATGTTTTCTAGATAATATGTTCTACCGATAATAAATACTATGATATTAATAATGTTTTTTTGCATATTCATTGAGATCTGATTGTAACCCACCTATCTATTTGACAATGCAAAGGACATAGAGCTTATAATAAATATTGTTCATTATCATAATTGTTCATATTAAGCCCTGTATCTATCTATTTCACCAGGTCTGGCATCAGGACTAGTTCCAATATACGTTGGAGAGATCTCTCCCACTGCATTAAGAGGAGCTCTGGGAACTATGCACCAACTTGCTATTGTTACAGGAATCCTTATAAGTCAGGTACGCTTACATGGAAACTGTGATAGCCGGGCTTAAAAATAGTAAATGATTCTGTGTGCAACTGCATCGCCCACTATCCTTATACAGATAAAGATGATGAAATGAACCATTTAAATAACTCGGGAGTTGTTGTGGTATTAACAATGAGCTTTGGGCTATATGTTATAAAAAAAAAAAAAAAGATTATTTAGATATGAACACTAGGAAAATGGTGGCCTTTAAATTGTAATAATACTATTGGCTATCTGCTAGTGAAATGACTAACCAGCACCATTGCAAAATCCAGACAGCTGCAGAATATTTACTCCAGGCATTGATCAAAATATAACAATATGACGTGGGATGTTAAGAGAGGTTAAAACTCTCCAATGTATTGACGCAAGGCAATAAAAAGACTGTACAGCATAGCTATCTCATTGTTGTGACTTTGTAAACTTTTCTTAATATGCTGAGATAAAGAGACTTGTTTATCCTATTGGCCTGAAAGTGTTCAGGAATGCAATATCTCAAGCACTCACTCCATACTTGCATCTCATTAACTTTAGTGTAGTTCTTCAACTACTGAATACAAGATTTTGTGTACAGAATAAGGAAATGTCTAAATTCTGGACTGTTGATACGTGTGTGTGTTGTAAACACTGCGCTAGGGGTTGATAGATTTACAATCACCACATAGCTTTAATTTACCAATAAACACTGTAAAAAAAAATCATATTTACAATCATAATTGTATATCGGGTATTTTAAATGGTTCATATACTGAGGGTGAAACTATTTATATATACTATTTGTTCTGTTAACAGTTTTTTTTCTTGTAACACCTATAGGTTATTGGACTGGACTTTATCCTGGGCAGTAAGGATTTATGGCCGGTGTTACTTGGTATTTCGGGGATCCCTGCGATTATTCAGACAATCCTACTCTTCTTTTGCCCAGAAAGTCCCAGATTTCTTTATATCAATCTTGGCAAGGAGGAAGCAGCAAAACAGAGTAAGTTATTTATTTACCAATTAAAACATAAACACATAATTTTAATCTTTACAAATGTTTGTTCAGATACTCTGCACCACCAATATAAACTCTTGATTAATGTTTTATCTATGGAGTCTAATATCATCAGTCAATGGGGGTCAATAGTCAATCAAGATGGAAGAAAGTAAGCAAATAATATAAGAGTTAAATTTGTAGAATGCACAAAGAGTTCTATTTCTGGAATTTATAAACAGTTCAATTTATAGAATTCACAAAGAGTTCAATTTGTAGAATTCACAAAGAGTTCATTTTGTAGAATTCACATAGAGTTCGATTTGTAGAATGCACAAAGAGTTCAATTTGTAGAATTTATAAACTGTTCAATTTATAGAATTCACAAAGAGTTAAGTTTATAAAAATTCACAAATAGTACAATTTGCAGAATTGTCATCTTGCAAAACATTCTTGAAAGGTTAGCTCAGATCAATGCTCCTTAGGGCTCCATGCTGGATATTAAATCCTCAGTAATATGTCATTCACTTAAAATTCACCTGCTAATAGCTCAAATAAAGGCTATATTACAACTGGAGAATATGCTCTTTGCATTTTGCTTCAAACATGTAAAATGAGATATATTTTGGAGATGTTATTGGCATGATGTGTACATTGATTGGATATATACGGAATGATAGAGAGGGCTGTGAGGCACTGGTTAGGACTGAGGAAAGGTATTTTGTGGTATAGGGTAGAGGACAACAATGGCTGACTTTGTCAGTGTGTAATTATAAGATACTTTTCCCATCATGCTCGCCCAGTTATCTCATATACAGATGGGGTGAAAAGGTTTGCCTGCGAATGTAATAACTGAAATTAAGTATTAATATCCTTTATAACTTTGTTTTTTTAATTCAAACCAATAGATGAGATCAAACCATAGCATACAAAGTCACTTAGCATAATAATGGCAGTCCAATTTATTGTCATTCAGAATTTTGTTTTATTTATCATATTGTTATGTCATTCCCAAGAGTGTAGTAGTATTGGCTGGAACTCTGATTTGATCCAATCTGTCAAGTTACTGTGTTACCTTTGCACCTAAAGATACAACTTACTAAGGTAGACAATAGTGTTGACCAACTTATCTTAAAGACACATTTCCTATTCCTGAGTGAGTCTTGACTAAATATTGTTTAGCAACTTATCTTAAAGACACATTTACTATTCCTAAGTTACACTTGACTAAGTGTGTTTATCAGCTTAGCTGAAAGACAGATTTTCTAGTTCTGTGTGAGACTTGGCTAAAATGTTTACTACTGGGATAGGCAATCACTGTGATTAGACATGTTGTTTGCTACATCGAGAGTCAACAAAATCTGGAATGGGGGATCATGCCTGACCCTGGAAAAGATTAAAAGTGTAGAGGGTTTTCAGATTTGTAGATCCGACCACTTTACCTATATATATATATATATATATATATATATATATATATATATATAGGTAAAGTGGTCGGATATATATATATACACTCACACAATCCATTCAAACTATGTTTAGACTTCATTATTATTAATTGTAGCAGTTCCCAATGCTGGATATCACAAAGTTGGTAATCTTAACTTATTTAAACTACAGTCAAGTCCATAAATATTGGGACATCGACACAATTCTAATCTTTTTGGCTCTATACACCACCACAATGGATTTGAAATGAAATGAACAAGGTGTGCTTTAACTGCAGACTTTCAGATTTAATTTGAGGGTATTTACATCCAAATCAGGTGAACGGTGTAGGAATTACAACAGTTTATATATGTGCCTCCCACTTTTCAAGGGACCAAAAGTAATGGGACAGTTGGCTGCTCAGCTGTTCCATGGCCAGGTGTGTGTTATTCCCTCATTGTCCCATTTACAAGGAGCAGATAAAAGGTCCAGAGTTCATTTCAAGTGTGCTATTTGCATTTGGAATCTGTTGCTGTCAACTCTCAATATGAGATCCAAAGAGCCGTCACTATCAGTGAAGCAAGCCATCATTTGGCTGAAAAAACAAAACAACCCCATCAGAGAGATAGCAAAAACATTAGGTGTGGCCAAATCAACTGTTTGGAACATCCTTAAAAAGAAAGAACGCACTGGTGAGCTCCGCAACACCGAAAGACCCGGAAGACCACGGAAAACAACTGTGGTGGATGACCGAAGAATTCTTTCCTTGGTGAAGAAAACACCCTTCACAACAGTTGGCCAGATCAAGAACACTCTCCAGGAGGTAGGTGTATGTGTGTCAAAGTGAACAACCAGGAGAAGACTTCACCAGAGTGAATACAGAGGGTCCACCCCAATAAAAACATTGGTGAGCCTCAAAAACAGGAAGGCCAGATTAGAGTTTGCCAAACAACATCTAAAAAAGCCTTCACAGTTCTGGAACAACATCCTATGGACAGATGAGACCAAGATCAACTTGTACCAGAGTGATGGGAAGAGAAGAGTATGGAGAAGGAAAGGAACTGATCCAAAGCATACCACCTCATCAGTAGTGTCATGGCGTGGGCATGTATGGCTGCCAATGGAACTGGTTCTCTTGTATTTAATGATGATGTGACTGCTGACAAAAGCAGCCGGATGAATTCTGAAGTGTTTCAGGCAATATTATCTGCCCATATTCAGCCAAGTGCTTCAGAACTCATTGGACAGCGCTTCACAGTGCAGATGGACAATGACCCGAAGCATACTGCAAAAGCAACCAAAGAGTTTTTTAAGGGAAAGAAGTGGAATGTTATGCAATGGCCAGGTCAATTACCTGACCTGAATCCGATTGAGCATGCATTTCACTTGATGAAGACAAAACTGAAGGGAAAATGCCCCAAGAACAAGCAGGAACTGAAGACAGTTGAAGTAGAGGCCTGGCAGAGCATCACCAGGGATGAAACCCAGTGTCTGGTGATGTATATGCGTTCCACACTTCAGGCTGTAATTGACTGCAAAGGATTTGCATGTATTAAAAAGTGAAAGTTTGATTTAAGACTGTTAATCTGTCCCATTACTTTTGGTCCCTTGAAAAGTGGGAGGCACATATACAAACTGTTGTAATTCCTACACCGTTCACCTGATTTGGATGTAAATACCCTCAAATTAAAGCTGAAAGTCTGCAGTTAAAGCACATATTGTTTGTTTCATTTCAAACACATTGTGTTGGTGTATAGAGCCAAAAAGATTAGAATTGTGTCGCTGTCCCAATATTTATGGACCTGGCTGTATATTTATGGTGCTGTTGATGTGATATTGAGGAGCTTGTGTATATAGCTTGCAATGACTGCCAACCTGAGTATACATTAGTTAGCGGCCAAGTTGTGGTACCATAGTCTGCTGTAAAGAAGCATTGTGTAATTTAGTCACATGGAATGCTCCCTAGCTATAGAGCTACAATTCATGCAATATCTGTAAAACCCATAGGCGTGCGCACGGGGTGTGCCTGGGCACACCCTAATCCCGCGGCACGCCTATGTATATTGAGACCGGCAGGAGAGATCTCAGGATCTCCCCTGTCGGCTCATGCAGAGCCGGCGCTATCCGAGCGCCGGCTCTGCTCTCAGCCTCCCTCCCCACTGACCCACATGCAGGGAGGGAGGCAAGAGAGGACCCGGCGGAGCTATTGCCGGCAGCTCCGCCGGGTTCCTCTAGCGAGATATGAGCGTTGCCACGGCAACGCTCAAATCTCGCGAGAGTGAACTCTAGCCCCACAGGGGGCTAGAGTTCACTCTCCACTGGACCACCAGGGATGGAATCAGCAGCACGATCCCCCCTCCCTACAAAAGGTAAGAAGGGAGGGGGGATAGCAAGTAATGTACCCCCACAATCACCCACACACATACAGCACACACACATACAGCACCCACAGACATACACAGCACCCACAGACATACACAGCACCCTCAGACATACACAGCACCCTCAGACATACACAGCACCCTCACACTCACACAGCACACTAACAGTACCCTCACAAACAGGACCCTAACAAACACAGCACACTACCAGTACCCTCACACACAAACAGCACCCTCACACACAGTACATTAACAGCATCCTCGCACACAGTACATTAACAGCATCCTCACACACAGTACATTAACAGCATCCTCACAAGCACGCACACAAACACCCTCACCCACACATCACACTAACAGCACCCTCACACAGCACACACACACACACACACAGCAGTGTGTGTATATATGTGTATGTGTGTGTGTGTGTGTGTGTGTGTATATATATATATATATATATACGTGGCGTGTGCTTGGGCTTTAGGGTGCACACCCTAATGCAATAGGCTGCGCACGCCTATGGTAAAACCTATGAGTTCCAGTCCAAGAACAGCTTTAAAATCATAATTAATTTGTTGGGAAATACAAAGGATGTTACAACTTGACTACTTTATGTAAAGTTCATGGCTGGTTCACTTTTTTGGTTCAGGTTTTTGTAACTAAATATTTTCCCTTTCTCTGGTGCTGTTGTGACCATCACCACCCAGTTTATTAGTGTCACACCTGCTGTGACACCCTTCTCCTCCAGCACCTGCCCACTTTTTGTTTGATTGGGCATTTTCAAGAAGTACAGTTTTACTTCCCAAAGCAGAGTGCATCTCTCCATCCATTCTAGCACATCGACATATTAATGGAGTCTCTGGAAAAGTGAGACACTTGTAGTCTTGCAGGAATGATCCCAGTAACTACACACATAAACTGCAGCTGCTGTAAAGGAGAGCAGGAAAATATGCCTGTAGAAGGCAAATCATGCTCATCACTTACCAATCAACTCTTGGCACACACATTATGCAACTGACATAGTAGATTATGCAAAGAATGGATTCACAGACAGGGAGAGGTGAAATAATATATTTTAGATTTTTTTTGTAAAATGTATATTTTCTAAGAATTCTGAAAAGTAAAGATCATCATACTGCTCTGCTGAATATATTTGTAATTTGTAAAAAAAAAAATAATAAAAAAATACATAACAGATGTACTTAAACAAAGTTGTGCCATGGAAATAATTCTATAGACACACATTTAGATGTTACTCATCTTTGAATGAGCTAAAAAATAAAGTAATATAAAATCTTTCTCAAAGAACCAGCCTTATTTCTTATGAATAAACTTCAACTTATTCTTAAAGGAGAGACCAGGAAGGCATGATAAAATGTGCTCTTTGGACTTTGTGTCAGAGCTTGCTTAGTAATACCCCTGTAAAATTGATTGCCTTTTATTGATGTCCTTTATTTTAGTTCAGACATGTAACCCTTTAAGTGTATCACATTACAATAGAAAACCTGAGTAAAGATTACAAATATTTGAATCATGCAACCTGCCTATCACACATTTATACTTTTCCACTCTAACATTAGAAATACAAACATTTCTGGATTTATGGGTCCTCCTGTGAAAACCTTGTAAAGGGAGCATTAAAGGAGCACTCTAACATTAGAAATACAAACATTTCCGGATTTATGGGTCCCCCTGTAAGAGATGCGTTAATTAATTTTACTATGCTTTTTCCCTCTCCATGCAAAAGTCGCCACTCTCCCTCTCGCTAATATCATCATTACGGATCTCAGCCAATCCAGTGTTTCTCTAGAGATATGCATTGGAGGATTACTTTGCATAACTGGCAATCTCTATGCTACAACAATCAACGTAGTGGCAGAACTAATGTAGAGAAAGCTCTGGTGCATGAATTCTTTAGGATCACCCTCTATCACAAGTGTGGCCAAATGGTAGATCCCCATTTGTCGTACAACTCCCACAGTGCACTCCCATCTGGGAATTTACCATTTGCACATTCTTGCAGGGTTGTATTTAGCACTGAATCAATTATTCTGAATCAATAATAATACAACACAAGAGCACATCAGATTTAAAAAAATATATGTTCAAACTTTATTATTATGTTATTTTATTTTATTATTATTATTTATTAGTGAACAGATAAAGATAAACAGTATAAAGCCATCATTAGGGAAATGACATAACAACGAATGTTGCCTCTTAGAAATCAGGCTAGTATCTTAATGTGCGGTATTCTGTGTAATGAAGGAGACTACATCATCAGACAATACATGGTGTTTTAACTAGAACCCAAAATGTACAAATAATAACAGAAATGACAGAAAATATGAAATACTGTCAAAGAGACACAAAACACAAAAAATGAATGAAATTAATTCATAAAAAATATATTTACAGAAAATGCAAATGTGAAAGATGATGCAAAAAAATTTAAAAATAGAATATAAAAAATGAAAATAAATGCAAATATAAAAAAATTAATAACAATCCAAGAATTACAAAAAAAAGAATGCAAACTATCACAAAAGATATATAAAATGTAAGCAAGCATCAATAACATAATAACAAACCACAAAATAAACCTGTGTCACCACATACAACATGAATGCTTTTACATGTCACCTAGTATATATAGTACAGGTATTGTCAAGTCATAACGAAAAAATATTTATTACAAATTACAAAATGAATAAACCATTGATATCTACTAAATATTAACTGATATAATGAAAGTAATATAAAATAAGTAAAAAATACTTGGGATAATCCAATCCAAAAGAAATGGACTAAGACCAACATGTTCCCTTTGGATAACCAAAAATTTGAGAAAAAAAACGTGTTCCAGTCCAAGCACTCCTTGTTGCGGCTCCCGGGCTGCCGCATGGCGCAGCCGTGCCCGACTGGCACGACCACGCCGATATTGCGAGCTTACCTGATCGCCGGGAACTGCTCCTCCGCGTCTTCTGGGCGTTGCGCCCAAATCAAAGATGGCGCTGACCACATGGTCGCACACACCACAAGCTCTGCCACTCAAATATAGACGGACGTGCGCGTGACGTCACGACGTCAACGCACGCGCACGTTCTGGGGTTGTTCTGACCAATCAGAGCCCAGAGAGGGATATTTAAATCCCTAATTCACTCCAGGTCCTTGCCCTGTCGTGGTTTCCTGTTCCTTGTTCCAGAGAGTGTGTTTATCTTTGTGAATATTACTTCCTGGTATCCTGATCTTGGCTTTTCCCTGGTTATTCCGAATTCTGGTTCCCTTGACTTGGCTTGTTTAAACGGTATCTGAGTATTTCTGGCTTCCTTGACCTCGGCTTTCCCTTTGACCATTCTCTATCTCTAGCTTATTAGTTCGGCCATTCTAAGGTCCGGTTTATGCTCTGTCCTTTTATTTCCTTTCCTTTTTTATGTATATGTTTACATAGTTTCTGCATGTTGGACCACACGAGCAGCCGTGACACTACTCCATTTCAGGACCTGAAGACGCAGGAGCAGAATTGCTGCATACGATCCATTCCCCAGAAAAAAATAACACTATCTAAAAGAATAAAAGAAATCACAATAATAACATAAAATATACTCAACAGACAGAGGAGAAGAAGCAGAACAACTTAGAAAAATGTTCAGCGCTTGAAATGTCACAATCCTCATTTAGGCCATGTGGAAATAGAGCATCCAATTTCTATATCCTAAACAACTCCCTTTGTTTGAGGGTAACTGATAATGACCAACCAGCACATGGTTTATTAGTCCGTTTATTGGTCTGAAATCTCATTTGAGAAACAACGTGCCCATGCTCCATGGAAGTCCTGGTCACTGGGTAATGTGTTTTATTGGTACGTATCGTGCTCACCAATCCAGATGGTTAAACATCTTGTGGTCTGTCCAACATTACCCAATCCACAAGGGCACTCTATCAGATATATAACATGATCTGATCAACAATTTAAAAACTCAGGAATGTCAAACCGTTTGCCTGATTTGGTGTGGATAAATTGTGATAAAATCGTAACATTGTTACAGTTGACACAATGCCCACATCTGTACATTCCCTAAATGGGAGTTAGCCAGGAACTCACTGCATTCTTAGCCCTTTGATCTTTTTAAATATGGAGAACCAACTTTTGATATTTTTGGGATCATCTGTATGACATAATAAGTTGTTCTTTAAAAACATGGCCGAGCCTAGGATCACTTTGAAGTACATGGCAGTGCCTATTAATAATATGCCAAACATATTCTGACCTCTTAGAGTATGTAGTGACACATGGAATACGATTAGTCCTAGATCTTGTTTTCTCAGGTCTTAGGAATTTATTCCTATCCATCATTCATACCTTCTCAAGATATTGTCTTAGGTCATCAGTGTTGTAGCCACAAGAGACAAAATTTGTAGTCATTTTGGTGATTTGTGCATCAAAATTGTCATCCATGGACACAATACGTCTCACTCATAAGAATTGACTGTATTGAAGTCCACAAACCATACTTGGTGGATTAAACAATTGTGCCATAAGAAAGCCACTTTTCAGTAGGTTTTTGATATAAATCAAAGACAAACATTTCATCATTGATTTTCACCAACACAACCCAAAAAATTTATTACCTTTCCATTGTGAAGTGGATGCTGGGGATTTGTTGGTCTAAATATGATTTGAAACATATTAATGCCTTCTCATGCCACTCCATATGTTATATGTGATTTTCAATGTTTTATTCAATCATATAATTTATAGAGAAGTGACAGTCCCTCTTTAAAATATATATTTTTTTGTAGCTATGGCAATAAAGCATCTTTACCTATCAACATCATAGCCTTGAGTCACATGGATACAGGCTACAAATAATCAGTCCTGTAGATAATATAGATATTGCCAAATGTAGTTCATTTTACAGTTATTACTGGACCATGTTTTGGCATTCACAAATAAGAGGGAAGCAGCCTGGTTTATTTTTAATGGGGTTTATTCACTTACTAAGTAACTTGAAATTTAAGAACTGAATAACCAATCTGAAAAATAGCATCGGAAATTAATGGGAAAAAAATTAAGAAAACTCATTGTTAATTTATCACTATTCACAGTTTAGTAAATTAATCTTCATTGGTTGATATTGAGAAACAATAGGTGAAACATCTACAGTTGGTGTCTTAAAGGTTAAAAAGCACAGTAATTGTACAATACAGACAAAGAAGATGAACAGCATACTTGGGATAACTACAACTTGTTTTTTTTCCAAGTGCTAGGTTCAAAGTATAGTGTATTTTATCAAGTTTCTCAGCAAACAACTTACCACTGCCTGTGTGCATGACCTCTGGTTAAAAGTTAACAAAGATAGCATGCTAAAATCAGAAAACACCAAGCTATCCTGTCTTTAAAAATAAATGATGATTAACACATAAAAATGTTCTGATTTAAAATGTGATTTCGATTACTGAAATTTACAGAGAAACTACAAGTTGACAAATAAAATGTGAAGCTAAAAAATCCCTCTAACAGTTCAATGTCATGTAGGAAAAAAATATGAAAATAGCGTGAATAGCTAAGTAAAACACCACTAAATCATGACGTGTCATATATTTCTAAGTTCACAAACAACTAGATAAATGTAAAAGATAAGACAAAAAAGTAACACAGATCATGTAAGTAGCACATATAACGTACTTAATAATATTTTCTGGACATGTATGTCCCTCAAGCCTCCTCCTGCCTGACAGGTTGTGATATTTTTGTGTTTTTAAGTATTCGTTAAAAACAGAACAAGAGGTACAGTTCCACTGGGTTTATAGGGGCTGATAGAAATCTAAAGCCAAACTGTTTCTAAAACTGCTAATACAATATACCTCACAATTCAATAACATAATCTCAATACAGCTGAAGCTTGGCCTATGCAATGCTGTGCATTTTATCTATAATACGGGTCATTTTACTATTCTCCTTACACTATTGTGCTGACTCATTCTATAACTACTCTCCTTGGAGGTTTTGGGCACTATACAGAATACCTAAACATGGCCATAGCCTGTCTTTGTATTGTACCTGTGGCAAAACTACTGCCCGCATGCTATGGAGGTCCCACCAACTGGCTTAGGGACCTAGGACCACCCGATGGGTATTGTTGTTTGATATATATGTGTATCTGTGTGTTAATGTGTATCTATATCTGTGAAAGTATGTATGTGGCAGTATATGTGCATACATCCAAGCAATCAAACACCAACAAAACATGCAAACACACCCCTGCAATCAAATACAAACATTACATCCAAACACACCTCTGCATTCAAACTCCAAAATTATATGCAAACACTTTCCTTCACTCAAACACCCATGCTACACACAAATGTATATCTGCATTTAAGAGCCAACATTACATCCAAACACACCCCTGCAATCAAATGCAAACATTACATACAAACACCCCCTGTATTAAACCACTAAAATATATACAAGCACCCCTTCAATTAAAAACACTAACACTACACAAAAAAGCATACCTACACATACACACATACATACAAAGACACATACATACAAACAGACAGGCACACATAAAGACAGAAACCAAAAGGAAATCAGCGCTAATTAACAAACAATATATAGATAGGCAGCAACCCAAACAAAGGAGACCCCTCAAATCCTTCAACAGATGAAACAATACAAAGAGATGGGGTAGGGGTGCGCCAGCGGAAAAGTAAAATAACGTAAAATAGTCCAGAAGAGTCTCACTAGAGCAACAATGCTTGATGGGATATAGATGAGTAGTTGTTACAGTAGGGGTGCGTCCTAGTGTCTCAGGGTATTCGCATATGTGAAAGACAGAGATACAGGAACAACCAGTAGTGCGGTACGTTTAAAATTCAAAGGGTAAAATAGTAGTAGAAGGTAGAAAACTCACATTTAAAAGAGCTATGGCCAGCTCTGGTGTAGAGTGTACAATGGTATAATCCCCGCTGCTGGGATGTGTAAAAGAAATGCGTCTATCAGCTCCGTCTGGTCATCCGAAGATTTAAAAGAGCTGTGATGGCCAGCTATGGTGTGAACAGCATACACTGGTATAATCCCAGCTGCTGGGATGTGTAAAGGAAATGCGTCTATCAGCGCCGTCTGGTCATCCGAAGCTCCAGGGTAAATAAAAATAGTGCTCTCAATTTGATAAAAGTAAGTAAAAGTAACTAGAGTAATACTTACAGGTATAGAGCAGAAAATACTGTTCTTTTAATAAAGCGTTGGTGGTATGATCCCCACCTGGAATTTCTATAACTGCAGGAACAATAATAAAAAGCCAGGAAAGTAAAAATAGTAGAAGTGCATAAAAATACAATAAAAATAGAATTGGCACAGTAAAGTAACCAAAAACCTTTAATTGATCTAAAATACACAATTTAAAATAACCATTACGCGTTTCACCAAAAAGGCTTTCTCAAATGGCATACATACAGACAGACAGATACACATACAAAGATACATACATACCAACAGACAGGCACACATACATACAGAGTAATAAATCACACAAGTAATATTATGGCGCTGAATTATAAAACAACAATAATTAGTGAAAAAATGTAAAAATAAAGTGCGCTGTGCCTTTAAGACCCAAAGTAATTTTAAACAGTGAAAATAATTTGTGCAATGCTGTGCAACTAAAGTGATCAAGTGCATCAATGTGCAACACACTTAAATATATAAATATAAAAAATGTGCAAACCAAAATATTTCTTTGTGCAACAAATTTTGTACAAAAAGACAATACTTAGCTTTCCCAATTATGGAATTTGCCTTAAAATTTCGGTCAGCGCTGGGCGCTTTAACAGTGCGACCGGGCCCCCTGACAATCCATCTCCATCGGGTGGTCCTAACAGCATGGGCCACCCGATGGACCCCTTGGACGGTGGCCCCGGCGGTTTGCCTCGTGGGCCGGGGCCGCAAAAGATGGAGGAATTCTTTGTCACTGGTCTTTTCCCCTTCTAAGTTTATCATAATCTCGACATCAGGAAGAAGCTTGCACAACTTACTGACGTGTGCACAACTAACCCTCATTGACTCATACACACCTGCAGACACATTGCAAACAAACACTAACCCTCATATACTGTGTGTGTGTGTATATATACCGGTATGTATATAGGGGAGAGGGAAAGTTAAAAAAAAATGTGCAGGAAAGTGTGTTAAAATTTAAAACGGAATAAATATGAACAAAAGGAATTAGTTGTTAAAACGATAATGGCTGTAGTAAGATATGTATATATAATTGTTAATTAAAATTAATGTGGATAAGTAGAGGGAGAGGAAAGAAAGAAAGTTTCACAGAACAGTATGAAGTAGATGTTAATGGAAAACAGATAAAAATGGAAAATGAAGGACACTCACCTCCTTTCAGCGACAATGTGTCAATCCCGACCCACAGCCACATGCCGTTTCCCTCCTGTACACTCTTCTACACGCACAGCTGAACCTCCCAGCCCCTGGGTATATAGGGAAATGGGAAGTTGCCCTGGGCAAAACCTTTACCACAAACCAATGGGGGAAAATCTGTGATTTGGTGCATCATTGAGCTCTTGCTAGTAAGACACAGGAAACGGCATTTAAGGTCCTGACACTGTGGTACAGAACGCCTCACTTCCTCCAGAGCATGAACCCCGCTCTGGACTGAGACTGCTGGCGTTGCCGAGCCACCCTGAGTACTTTCTTACCCGTCTGGTGGGAATGCCCTAAAATCAGACTGTTCTGGTCGGCGATTAATGCCATCCTACCGAAATTTTCCAACAACCCCTCTGTCCCTTCCACCCACACCACAGCTAGATTCAAGAAATCAATGTCTGTTCATATTTTAAATATGGCCAGACAAGTAGTTCCCCTCTACTGGAAACAAGAGACACCTCACCCCCATCCCCATTGACACTGTGGTTTGACAAAATGGAGGACCTAAGATGGCTAGAAGAACTGACATTCATGGCCCAAGGATGCACCCAATCTTACACTGACATCTGGACTCACTGGCTGATGGTCGCATATCACATTGACTTTCGGCCCTTGCTGACATTTGGGGGCAACTAGCCTGGTGGGTTGAGGGGTCTCGGGCTGCGGGCCGTGCGCTCTCTCCGTTTGAAAGTAAACGGAGGAGATCTTCCTGACCCAACAATCCAACACTCATCTTTGAGGGACACCCAAACAAGGGGAGCAGTAGGGGACACTCCTGATACAGATTACTAACAAAGTTAGGGAAACAACCAGACGCCTGGACATAGGCATTTTGTTGCACCTCTGTACGTTAGGTTCACTGCATTGTGGCACCACTTTCATTCATATAAGAGTGCTACACATGTATGACGTGCTATATAACTGGATTGCGGACTTTTAGTCCCTATTTACCAACATGTTATTTGTTTCACTAAGCCCTGCGTGGCTTTCAAACTTTGTATGCCATATTCTGGGGGGAAAAAATGGTTTAACTGTGTACTTACATTCACTCAGTACTTGTTTTGATACAACCACAGCGACCAATAAAAATCTTATTAACAAAAAAAAAAAAAATGGAAAATGGAGCTACCTTTATGAGTCTGGATGCAGTCAGCTTTCATAATATGTAAAAGCATTTTGACACTGTTGCACATAGAAGGCTTATCAATAAACTGCAATCTTTAAGTTTGGATTCCAATATTGTTGAATGGGTAAGGCAGTGGCTGAGTGACAGGCAACAGAGGGTTGTAGTTAATGGAATATATTCGAAGCTTGGACTTGTCACCAGTGGGGTACCTCAGGGATCTGTACTTGGACCCATTCTCTTTAATATTTTATTAGTGATATTGCAGAAGGTCTTGATGGTAAGGTATGTCTTTTTGCTGATGATACTAAGATATGTAACAGGGTTGATGTTCCAGGAGGGATAAGCCAAATGGCAAATGATTTAGGTAAACTAGAAAAATGGTCAGAATTGTGGCAACTGACATTTAATGTGGATAAGTGCAAGATAATGCATCTTGGACGTAAAAACCCAAGGGCAGAGTACAGAATATTTGATAGAGTCCTAACCTCAACATATGAGGAAAGGGATTTAGGGGTGATTATTTCTGATGACTTAAAGGTAGGCAGACAATGTAATAGAGCAGCAGGAAATGCTAGCAGAATGCTTGGTTGTATAGGGAGAGGTATTAGCAGTAGAAAGAGGGAAGTGCTCATGCCATTGTACAGAACACTGGTGAGACCTCACTTGGAGTATTGTACACAGTACTGGAGACCGTATCTTCAGAAGGATATTGATACCTTAGAGAGGGTTCAGAGAAGGGCTACTAAACTGGTTCATGGATTGCGGGATAAAACTTACCAGGAAAGGTTAAAGGATCTTAACATGTATAGCTTGGAGGAAAGACGAGATAGGGGGGATATGATAGAAACATTTAAATACATAAAGGGAATCAACACAGTAAAGGAGGAAGACAATATTTAAAAGAAGAAAAACTTCCACAGCAAGAGGTCTTAAATTAGAGGGGCAAAGATTTAAAAATAATATCAGGAAGTATTACTTTACTGCAAGGGTAGTGGATGCATGGAATAGCCTTCAAGCTGAAGTGGTAGAGGTTAACACAGTAAAGGAGTTTAAGCATGCGTGGGATAGGCATAAAGCTATCCTAACTATAAGATAAGTTATTTAGAAAATTGGGCAGACTAGATGGGCCGAATGGTTCTTATCTTCCATCACATTCTATGTTTCTATGTTTCTATGTAAGCAAAATAAATTAATGATGAGCAGACAAGCTGAACACTTATTAAAACATAAATATAACTTAGTTACACAGTTGATTAGCTTGAGAAAACATATAAGTATATTAACTTAAAATATGCCATGGTAAGATAACCTCTCATCTTACTGACAGAAAAGAAAATATCAAAAAAGCCATCTCATGCTTTTCTTATATAGTAGAAATACACTTTACAAATTTCCACATATCATGTTTCAGCCTATCATGCTATCCAAAGTTGGATGATTGTTGTAGAACAGGGGTGTCTAAGATGTTGTAGAGCTACATGTCCCATGATGCTTTGCGTGTCTTTGCATGCCTTTAGATAGACAAGGCATCATGGAAGTTTAAAACATGTGGAGATCTACCTTTTGGGAACCCCTGTTGTAAAAGTTCAATATCCTCCCATCAACATGCAGAGTTCTGCTGAATATTTGCATCACAGAGCTATGAAAAAGGAAATGTATTTACTTTTATGAATATACTATATCATAATATATATCAAGACAGGGAGAAATTAAATTCATAGAAAAAGAAGTGGTAAACATACAGCATAAATATTTTATTATGTTTGTCTAGAATTTGAAATTCTGAATGTTATTGTATTTATTTTTATAGTACAGAACATGTACTTTTAGAATAACAAATCATAATAAATGTAATTTAAATATTGTACTTTTGCAATTTGTGTCTATATACCTTATGCGTGCTGGGATGGGTGAGATATCTGGCTGTCTCTAGCAGTATAATCAGCATACAGTGTTTGTCCATTTTCTGTATATCTTTATAAACATGTTGTATTAGCACCAAAGCATTATCTGGGTTATTAACTAAAGTGTGAATTGTCCAAAAATCTAAGTGAATTTCATGGTTAAGAGACTGAAATAGTTGAATTGGGGAAATTCTCCAAGTCAGCTATGTTTGCAGTATACCTATTTTAGTCTAAAATTTGACAATTGTAATTAAATTACCAACAATTTTTGCTTTACTAAATAGCCACGAGAATGCGTTGCCTGGGATGTTTAGCTATATCTGTCTGTATAATAATTTTGCCTTGGTGGGATTCCTGGAGAAATCAGATTTTACATACTGTTCCTTTGCTGCACAAAATATATGGAATGCATACAATCTACTGGGATGGGAATAAATCTGAAACATAAGATAATTTCTGACTTTTTCAACTATTTCTAATGTCGTCATCTCTCATTGTGGACAGTTTGGCTGTCCACAATAGCATGAGGAAGAACTACTGGTCTTTCTTGCTTTACAACAACAACAAATGTCCGCAGCCTTCCCATGCTATACACCAAATTAAGTATGGATAATAACTGTGGCCTGGACAAATAATATTCACTTGAGGTTATATTTGAATCTGAGGCGCTTTTCCTTTAAATAAGCACAATGCTATTATAATATAAAATCATTTTAAATGCAATGGACCAAAATACTGCAATCCTCTAATCCTCCCTTAAATGTTTTCTAAAATTGCAACAAACATGAGTTAGTGCACTATATATATATTTAAAAAAAAAACACTGTATTAATCTATAAAATCTCTAAGTTGACGCACTATAAAAAAGAAAAATGATATAATATATATACAACCAAGCTTTTATGCTTCAGCTAGTACCAAAAACACTAGTTCTTCTATTTGCAAGAATAATAGTTTAGGTATTCCATTTATTTGATATGATGTCACTGGTTTATAACCTGCTACGTTTATGCTCACAGAAATTTTACAGTCCTGTTACATTACAGATCTGAAAAGGCTTAGAGGGGAATTTTATGACCCAACAAAAGATATTGAGGAGATGAAAAAGGAGAAGGAAGAAGCTGCCAGTGAAAAAAAGGTCTCCATCTTACAGCTAATTAAATCTCCAAATTACAGACAACCTCTTATAGTGTCCCTTGTTCTCCACATTTCTCAGCAATTTTCTGGAATTAACGGGGTAAGTAATACATGCAAGGGGTGAAGTCTGGAGCTCCTTCATTGCAAATGGCCAATGTTTTTTTTTTCATTTTTGTAATCTCATGATGCAGAAGAATGCAGGGAGCCATGAACAACTGGAAATACCCAAGTTTGTCTTACATTCCTTGCATATATGCGGAAGCTATATCTTCTTTAACTCCATTGCACATGGAGCGTCTTTGTACAATGACCCATAAGATGGGTTGTTGTAGCAGGCAATTAAGTATGTCTCATAAGCCATCTGACTTGTTTGACTTTTAACAATTTCACAATTTCTTTAATATTGTCCCTATGGATTTATAGGAAATTTTTATATTTGGCTTAAATAAATCTTCGATATTACGGTTGTACATTAATGGTCTGTTTAAGTGTATTTAATAAGTTATTAAAGTGACTTACGCACTGATAACAAAAAAATTGTATTGACTGGGGTTATGTTGGGTTACTTACAGATATTTTACTACTCCACAAGCATTTTCACAAAGGCTGGGATTTCACAACCAGTATATGCAACAATCGGAGTCGGTGTGGTTAACACAATCTTCACTGTGGTTTCGGTGAGTAAAAAAGTGATCATGAAATAGTGATGTCAATAATGAGTCATGAATCTTAGCTGCACGAGGCACTCAGTGATCTATTCAGAGAAGAGTAAGTTGGCAAAAGGTAAAATTTGAGTCAAAATAGCTGACTTAGAAAAAAAATCTGCACACAACATATTTTGCCCTAAAGTTTGCAAGTTGGATGCAAACGTATGTCAATAAACTTGCTTTTGAAATGATTTCAAAAGCATATAATGCTGACATAACCATTATGGATGTAGAGATATGCAAAGCATAATCTTTTCATACATGGATCCTATTGTAGAGACCTGGTTCTATTTTGCTAAAGGGATAGAATATATATAGAACAGATATTTTTCATGGCATTTGAACAAGTGGTACGTATATGCTTCTTTATTGCATGATAGGAGTGCTTTGCCATCATGCCAATAACATTGCAGCCCAAACATTCTGCAGTTACTCTGAAAAGGTATTGAGCCATCTAATTATTTGATTAATCCAAGTCAGAGAAGATTGATGCTGAAATTATGTCCCAGGTACATTGCTGACATTAGAAAATTCACCTTGCAGTCTAAGTCTGTATTCTGAATTGTAAGCAATTTATTTTATCTAGACTTACAAGGTCAAACAGCCATCAAGTCATGCTGACAACTACAAAAACGAACATCCTGCAAGCCACTTGGTTATTTATTAGCAGAAAACTAGATAATGTTTGAATAGAATAATGGGGAAAGTGGATAACAGTGAAAGTGTATTGTCTATTTATATTCAGTACAAAAATACAGATCGCTTATATATTGTTTCCTGTACCAAACTGGTGTTTTGCTGCAAAGGAACATGCACACAATTTCTGTCTGCATGCATACAGTAAACTTATGAAAAGAATTAAAAGAAACCTTTCACTACAATTTAGTTCATACTACGTTTATATTATTCCCAAAGAAAATGTATACAGCATATAGTTTTTCCATGTTTTCTTTGGGGTATATGAAAAACAGCTAGCAAAAGCTGCAGATCTGATGTGTACAGCCTTTGCAAGCCTTCAACCCGGAAACAGATTTTCAGCTGGAGCAATCAGAGTGTGCATGCGCAAGGATTCCCATTCATACACATATAAATGAGCTGTAATACAGATCATTGAAAAGTGGTGAAAGAAGGCACATTCTAGCCCAGTGATCCTGCCACTTCCATGTGGAGCTAACAAAAGTGGAAGAAAGCCTCTCCAGAAGGCATTTCAGCAAGGATTTATAGTAAGTGCCTATTTATATTGAAATCAGCACTATATAAACTAAAAAAAATTAAAGACTTCAGACACATGAAGCACTTCAGGAATCTTAAGTGCTTTATGTCTTGGGAGAGTGTTCCCTTAAAGTTGTGCTGTAGGTGAATTTATATATTCATACAATAGAAAAAAATAAATACAAACTTTTCATATGATATAAATGTAATTACATTTAATATTTAAGTTTATGTAAAACATTTCTATATGGATTAGTTATTACATAGGAATTCCAAGGAACGTACAATGGAATTAGACCAAAATAACAAAAACTGGAAAGGTTCTCCAAATCAGCTTAATTTCTAGCTTGGCTACTTAGGCTTATAGTTAATGAATGAGTTAGTGAATGAACCCCTATATCATGTTAATTAGAAAAAACTACTTTTTTTTGCCATGGGAATTAACCCCTCAGTGACTAGGCCATTTTTCAATTTTATTTCCGTTAAGGACCAGGGCTCTTTCTACAGTTCTGCAGTGGTTGTGTTTAGATGTAATTTGCCTCTTACACATTTACTGTACCCATACATATTATATATCGCTATTAAGTGGTCATTTTAAAGATACCATTTTTTTCATCATATCATATAATTTACTAGAAAAAAAATGGAAAATATGATGAAAAATGGAAAAAAAACAAAGCTGGCCATCATGCACCCATGTCCCAGTTGGAAAATTTATGAAGCCAGCCAGTGTAATTCACCCCCGTCAAACTGTATGTTTTTGAAAACACCCTAAGGCATTTCACATGGTGGCATTTCAACATTTTATATGCACTAGTTCTACCACCAGTCTCTGTCAAACGTTTGGGTAGTCATTTTTTTGTGGTGTTATTTTTCACTCACACATTCTACTTTGGGCATAGATTCTCAGCTCCTGTTAGGTATTTCTGCCAAAGGACACCCCAATATGTGCTTGGCAACATCTCCCGAGTACAGCGATACCCCCCCATGCATAGGTGTGTGGGGTTCTCTGGGGGGGGGGGGTGCAAAGCAAAACACAAGTGAAGAGAGGGAGGGAGATCCACACTAACCAGAGAAATAGGGAACACACTTGGGATGAAATTGCTAATGGGGCAAGCTTTGATTGAATGAGACCCCAGCCTGTCCCTTATGATGAGGCAGGCTAGGGACACCTCCAGAAGCCCCATGATTCACTGCCTTTAAAAAGGGGGAGGGCGGTTTAATACTGATCATTTTATTTATTTTATATTTATTTTTTTATATATATTATATATATATATATATGCACTGAGTGCCAGGACCCCTCGAGGCACTCAGCACATGCAGAGAATCACTGCAATACTATCAGAGCTTCCAGCGCTCAAAATAGCTGCGGACGTACCAGGTACGTCCAAGGTCATTATGGACCGTTTTTTGCCAGACGTACCTGATACATCCGTGGTCGGGAAGGGATTAAGCAACAGTTTTGTTTACCTTTTCATTTGCTTTCTGTATACTATTAAAAATTTAAAGTTAATATTTTTGGATAAGCTTCTCAAATGAAGGCCATAATCAGCCAAGGGGGAAAGCATTTTTGCCTTACAGGACTTAAAGCAATGATTAGATTGCAAATTTACTGCATAACATCCCCAATTTTGCATTAAGGGGTTTGAAAGAATTAGAATTTTACAAATTCTTCCCAAATATCTGTTTTACAGGTTTTCCTTGTTGAACGAGCTGGGAGAAGATCTCTTTACCTCGTTGGATTGGCAGGCATGTGCATATGCGCTATCATCATGACGATTGCTCTGGCTTTGCTGGTAAGTTTACTAGAATTCTAATATATTACTTTTTTCATTATTATTATTATTTATAAAGCTTTAACAAGTTCCGTAGCTCTGTACAATGGGTGGACTAACAGACACGTATTTGTAACCAGACAAGTTGAATGCACAGAAAAAGATGGATTGAAGGCTCTGCTCAATGCGCTTACATGCTAGAGGGAGTGGGGTATAGTGACACAAAAGGTAAGGGTAGGGTAGAAAAGTAAGTTGCTAGGATAGTATTAATTTATTTATTACTGGTATTTATAAAGCGCCAACAGATTCCGCAGCGCTGTACAATTAGTGGCGAACGTACAATATACACAGACAGTGGTGAGGAAAAAATGCAGAGCTTCACTGAGTTTGAGTGTGAAGTGAGGCCTGAAGAACAGAGAAGGAGATTGAACAGTTATATGAAAGTATTTACAGCTGGGAGGAGAATAGGAAAGAGGATGAGGGGGGAGGACAAGGAGGGGGAGGTAAAGTAGCCATGTGCTTAATACTATTGAAAAGTTCAGCAACCAAATTCTATCACCCAAAATATTAATAACGGTCTACATGAAATATTGGTCAGAAACATTAAATGACAATAGTGCAAACTGCATGCACAGAAAATTACAGTGGCAAACTACAGGTATAAATGGTAACAAATCTATAGTAACACATGATAATATGGTAGCAATCCAAGAATAAATGAGGTGTAATATCTTCCAAGCTTCAGTCAGTACCTGAGAGTGGTAGGATTTTCTGCAGGATGTAAAATGCAGAGCTTCACTGAGTTTGAGTGTGAGATGAGGCTTAGTGTTTTGAGGATAGTTGCAGGAGAGGAATCAAGGTGCGGGAGGGAAAGCTGTTAACAGTTTAATTGATATGCTTTCCTAGAAAAGTAAGTGTTCAAATTGTTTTTGAAGGAGTGGAGATTGGGTGAGAGTCTAACAGTGAGGGGAAGGGCGTTCCATAGGAATGGTGCAGCCCTAGAGAAGTCTTTAACCCCTTAAGGACACATGACGTGTGACATGTCATGATTCCCCTTTATTCCAGAAGTTTGGTCCTTAAGGGGTTAAGGTGAGCATCAGAGGTAGGAGTACGTACAGAGGTTAGCCATAGGTCTCCGTCAGAGTGTAGGGGCCTAGACGGGACATATTTGTGTATTAGTGAGGATAAGTAGGTGGGAGCAGCATTGTGTAGAGATTTGTAAGCAAGTGTCTGGTTCTTAAATTGAGCCCTATATCTTACGGGTAGTCAATGTAGGGACTGACAGAAGGGTGAGGCGTGGGAGGTGTGGGCGGACAGGAAGATGAACTTCGCTGCCGCATTCATTATAGACTTAACGGGGCAAGTTGGGAACACGTAAGACCACTGAGAAGTGGATTACAGTAGTCAAGGCGAGAGAGGACAGCAGCATGGACAAGCACCTTTGCTGTATCAGGTGTTAAATAGGGTCGGACAGGCGCAATGTTTTTGAGATGGAAGCATTCACTGACTTATGAGAAAAATTATTCATCAATTAGTATTTTTATTTTATTTATGTACCAGAGTATTCAGCAGCACTACATGATAAGCTTTTTGTAATATTTGTTTGTTTTTTTCCAGAAGCCAAGGAACACATTAAATCAGTTACAAAAATAAAATACAATACTTAACCTGGAAAAATATTCCAACGCAGCTTGGTTAATTTAGCCACATGTTTGCCATTCAAATTCACGTTTGCTAAAATTTGGAATTAAGTGAATAAAATACAGAAAAATAGTTTGTCACCTATAGTGACATTATATTATAAATATTTTATTAACCAAGACTTAATTTTTATTGATTTTGTAATAAATTGCAGAAATTGTAGTTCACATTCTTATTATTATTATCAAAATAAAGACAGTAGCTTCCAACAAAGTAGAGATATGTGCATGCCTTATTATTGCAGTGTTCTGACTAAGACTAATGCCAGCATACCTGGAATGTGAATTTGAACTTGCCCTTTGCATAAATAGGAGGTGGCTATGTCAAGGCCCAAGACATTATTGATTGCTTGTCTGTGATGAAGCTTGCAAACATTCTAAGTGTAATGACCCAAGGTAAACTGTCAAATGGTTATATCTGGTCATGGCAAAAGTTAAAAAGGGAAATATCAACATAGAACATACTGAACATTCTGAGCTCATTGATGGTTTCAAGGTTACCTGTAAACCTATTTCTCTAGAGTAGATGACCTGCGGTTTGAGCAACCTGTTCTAATATTAGGAAATAATAGCAAACAGCAAAAATCAGACTGCAGTCCAGTTGCTGCCAAATGTGGAATATATTCAGCCATAAGACTAACCTAGCAACATGAGGGTCTCCTCTTGATAGCAAAATAGCCTTGCCTTACTGTAGGTAGTGTAGAGCTATGTTTATAGAGTTTAGTTTTATATAGCTAAGTCACAACAACATAATTAATTTAAAGGGACACTGTATTCTCTGTAACGTCTTTATCTCATTATAGTGCTTACAATGTCTGAAGTCCTCTGGACTGTCTCCTTTCCTTCCTGGTTAAACTGTTTTAATGTTTTAGTGCTAAACAAGCTCATAACAGGTTTAAAATTAAATGGAAGGACAATGCCAGAGGACAGCAGGCACTATAACTAGTTCAGTGAAATGAAATAGTTATAGTGAAAACATTGTCAATTTGATGTGTTTGTTTAATTAATCGACATGAACATGAGCATGGGGTGCTTTATGTATTTAGAAGTTTAAATACTAATACTAACTAACTATTAAACTAGAAGAGATTTCAGCTAATATATCTAAATCATATCTAAATCTAGAAGGAGTCAAGTGGACTTTGAGCTTCGTTTGAATTTGGCCCAGCGACTGTTAATAGCCCAGTCCTAACTTTATTGCTCTGAGTGCTCATTAATGTGAATGGAAGTGGTTCAGGAGGTCTGTACTTGGTAATCTCTTATGGCACAGTTATCAAAGATACAACTTTTAGTGGAGTTTTGGTTGAGTAAAGCTGACAGTCAGTGAGAATTATTAGGATGTTAAAGGGACACTCCAGGCACCCAGACCACTTTTCCCAATTGGAATGGTCTGGGTGCCAACTCCCACTACCCTTAACCCTGCAACTGTAATTATTGCAGTTTTTATAAACTGCAATAATTACCTTGCAGGGTTAAGTCCTCCTCTAGTGGCTGTCTAGAAAAAAAACACGAAAGGGGTGTTTTAAGCGACGCTGGACGTCCTCACGCTATGTGAGGACCTCGAGCGTCGCCAAAATCCCCATAGGAAAGCATTGATGTCAGCGGGGGCAGAGTCTGACCCAGTGCCGAAAGACATCGGCACTGGACTCCGGTAAGTCACTGAAGGGGTTTTAACCCCTTCAACAACTTGGGACCGGGAGTGGGAGGGAGAGAGGCACTGTAGGGTCCTGCATTGCCAGGAAAACTAATATGTTTTCCTAGCACTGGAGAGTCTCTTTAATGAACAGTATTACAGTATTACAATAATGAATCCTTTTCATGCATACACTCATGCAATTATGTAAACCTGAAAAGTGTGTGAATGCAACTCACTTATGAGATAATTATTGGAAAAACTAATACATTACATTTATCTGCAACATGAATATGAAAAATAATCCCTTCTCATTTAATCATTTTACAGAGTCAGCATGCTTGGATGAGTTATCTCAGTATGGTTGCCATCTTCCTATTTGTGGTTTTCTTTGAAGTTGGTCCTGGACCCATTCCTTGGTTCATTGTTGCAGAGTTGTTTAGCCAAGGTCCTCGGCCTGCAGCTATGGCTCTATCTGGGTGCTGTAACTGGACCTGCAACTTTATCATTGGAATGTGCTTCCAGTATATTGCAGTAAGTATGAAAACAATAGAGTCAAGACTGCACAACCTACACACAACCCTACACACAACTTGTGGTTTCACTTTTTCACTTGTATATCCTGAACACGTTGTTACTCTCGCTTAGTGTTGATACAATTTGATAAGCACTAGTTCAAAGTTTTGGCCATCGGTGCTTGGCAGGTTAGGAGGGGTGTTGAAAAGTGAATCACACAGGGGTGGTTAACTAAAGTGTAAAGAATTCAAAGTAATTTTAAAGTGCATTTAAATAACCTAATTTACCTATATTTATTCCAAAATTGTAAATTTAGTTTGAATGCAATTTGATTTTTTGCCAATTCCCACTTTAATGAATAAATCTGGTGGAGTACAGGTCTAATTTCTTGTTACTAAAACTTCCTACAGGTACCAAATTACTCCGGTGTACCTAATGCATAAGTACAAAAACCACATCCACTACAGCACACTGTGGTGCTTATAGAGCAGTAAAACCTTTTCAAGAGATTGTTTGACATAACTAAAATGGAAGTTCCCCTTCCACATTAGATATCAGAGAAGGATTAAGCAGAACGATTAAGCAGAACACTTCTCTGAAGTGAGAATTGCTGGGAATCTATTCCAATATGATTTTTTTTAAATGTAAGTCCAAAATTGCCAAATTGAACATAAAATTTATTTGGATAACCTTTCTCAATTGGATAATTTGGCCTACATTTCAAAAAATACTTTTTGAATTCTTCTTGAATTCCTAGCAGTTCTCACTATAGAGAATATGTGAGGCAAGTTACCGGTTTGCCCCCACCTCACCTAAATTTTTCTCATAGCGAGGCTGAGTGAGGCCAAACAAATTTATGGTTCTGTGGCCCTTGTCTAATCCTTTGACTTCATGTGACTGCCCAAAGTCACCTTATTGTTAATAATTCTCTGTTTAAAACATTAGATTCATCCCTACTGGGAAGGAATCCATCAGCTCAAAGCATCAGCAAAGACGAGTGGCATTAAAGTAGTAAGGACTTCCCATTAATTAGTCATATCTGAAGTTAGTGAGTGCTTAAGGGGACAATATAGGCACATCTCAATAAAGTGGTGGGTGCCATGACCTTGTCGTTCTGTGGGAAAAGCAGTATTTGCATTACAGAGTTTAAATGCCTCTATTGTCACTCTGACAGGCACTAAAGGCGTTTCTGCTGAAATAGCCAAATGAACCTTTGGACTTTCAATCAGAAGGTCTCATAGAGACCATTTGATTGGAGAATTATGGAAGTTTGCAGTGCGATTGGATTCGCTGAGATCATCAAGCTTGATGATCTCCACTAAGGAGGCGGAGCTTCCCTGCAAAGATGGCTTGCTGTGTGATATAAGCTAAGTAAATCTTCCTTTTAACTTCTTAGATTGGGACAGCAGACACCTACAGATAGCCTTAGGAACATTAATGGATTCATTATGCTGACCTGTATTTTGATTTCTTTTTTTAGGATGCTTGTGGACCCTATGTGTTCATCATTTTTGCAGTTTTGCTTTTTGGCTTCACTGTATTCACATACCTGAAAGTCCCAGAGACCAAGGGAAAATCTTTTGAGGAAATAACTGCAGAATTCCGTAAAAAGAAGATTGCAACACGCAAAGGACTTAAATCCACTGAAATGGAATATCTGGGAACAAGTACCGATGCCTGAATTTTATAAGTCCCGGACATTTCTGTGGAAATGTAACTTTTTTTTTATACTTCAGGATTTTTTTAAGATGCAGGGTAAAAACAGACCACTACAAGATTATTTATAAACACTTATTTTTTATAATACTATTCTTAAAGAGTGCAGAACTTGGAGACTAAATGGGTTCTTTCTTATTAACTTGAGATTTAACAGTAAAAGGTGGAACAGTTCTAAAATACAGGTGAGCAGTAACACTAACACGGTTGACAGGAAATAAGAGAGACTTTTATGTAAGACAAGGCATAGGAGTGCCATGATATAGAATAATCGCCATTCATATTTACAAGTTTATCAGTCTGAAGTGCATCCACACAGGAAGCTGTATAACTATTAAACAACAATCTCAGTGAGTAATCAGACTGACTCTGATAATCAGAGCTGAATATATAAGAAAAATGGTTGTGCAACATCGTGTTACAAGATACGTTTAAAATGAATCTTTTTTTTTCCTTTCCCTAAGACCCCCTTTGACACATACTTTTTATTCAGAATGACTAGTTGACTAATAACCCACTTTTATATACCACTTTTATAAATCTAATATAGTAGGGTATATTTACCTCGTTATATATCCTAAACTGGATATAAAGTTGGAAATTCATGCATAAACATTTTACTTCTCAATTGTTCTTTGATTCCAGTATACCACATGGTAAGTTATTTACACCAGATCTCAAATTAACAGGCAAGTAATCTTAAAACAAAATTTGTGTTAAAATGACATGTGAAAGAAAATGTAGTAACACACAATGTGGCAGATTTTTGAAAATCTTATGTTTTAAAGACTAATGCAAAAAAGAGTCACCAATGGAACGGGCCTGCTTGCTCCACTGGTTTCCATGGTGATTGCCGAACATTCAGTACTTTAAACCATTTTTAGAACAAAACACTTTGATAAATCTCCCCATTGTTTCTTTGGAAAGCTGCATTCTATATTCATACATTGCGCAAAGCAGACAACGCACAATCAAGGGGCTGTAATTCATGTTGTTTGCTTCTCTGTGCCAAGATTATGGTTGCCAGATCAACAACTTGATTAGGGGAACCCTATAAAAGGTAATTTTATGGTTACAGGAATACTACAAGTACCATAACCACTACAGCATGCTGGGTGCTGTTCCCGACCTCTACTACAGCTGACAGAGAGACAGAAGCACTCTGTTTGAACTATGCCCAGCAATGCGGCACTAAGCTCATTGGCCATTGGCTGAGATTCATCAGCTGACACTCACAGCCAATAAGCTTGCCATTCATTGTGGCTTAGCTCGGAAGAGCTAAGAGATGTGGTTAAGCAGGAGATGCTGGCTCTTGGTGGGGAATGGCATTTGGCAGATCCTGAATAACTAGTCAAATTGTTCTAAACCATTATAGTGTTTGGAGTGTTCTCTTAATCCTGCTCTGTTCATTGCAGTATGAATTGTTTGGAATTCCAAGTGAATTTAAAAATTTTGCGGGATAAATAATTTGACTAGTTTGCCCTAAACTTTTATATATTTACACGTTATTAGTCTACTACACACTTTGCATTTCAGTTATCAGATAAATATATATTTGTCCATTCCTAAAATAGTTACACATCAATTGGAGACTACTTTCTATGAAAACTGTTCCCAATTAATTAAGAATAATAAAAGCTTTATCCAAGTAAAACAGTAACCAAAACTCAGTGTGAATTTCAGCTTTAAGGACTAAATAGCCCAATTGGGAAATTTCTCTTAGTCAGACATGATTCCAATTTGGCTCTTTCGGCCCTAAATTTTAAATTCACTTTGTGTTCACTTTGAATTCCTGACAATCCTCACGTTAGTAAATAACCCTATAAATGTTGTATCTATAATGCCTGTGAAAGATTATACGTTGCAGAGCAAATCACAGTTTAGTGAATTATCCCCAAAGTATCACAAAGCATCTGCATTGTTAAAGCACATTTTACATTGGCGTTCCACATATGTATCCTTTAACAAATTGTACCAACCAGCAATTTCTGCTTTAGATTACCTACAGAACTGGCATGCCAAATAGAGAGCTGCTGAACCACTTTAATGCTGTAATAATTTATAGCTCCAGCTATTACTGCCTGAAGCATGTAGCTATCTAACATTACTGCACCAGTCACATAGATGATATCATTTTTTTGTGCTTGATCAACTGGTGTCTGGGTGGTTGTTTACAATTCTATACCTGTCTGTTACAACATTTTATTTATTCTGTGTATTTTTTTTTTACTAAGGATATTTTTTTTTTCATTATAACAGAAAAGGGGTTAATATTAGGCATTTAGTGGTAAAAACTTCCAAAATGTTATTTTAATCGACTTTACCATAATAATCTGAAAATGAGATTCCTGTCACTCATAATGCTTTATTTGTATTTGTTTGGGGCAGAGATGTAAAATGTGGGTTAAACTGTGTGACTGCTACATTTTTATTTCATTGTAATTGCATCACAATAGCCATGACCCATAAAGTTATGTCAAAAGCCATAGACTTAGCTCTCCAGATCGGTCTTCCAACCTAAAAACATTGCAATTAAAATTTTCTATGGCATGTTTTTGTAACTCTCATACATAGAATGACCATAAGCCATCACCCTTGGCCTCCTTTCTTTATTGATGTATATTGCTGGTCTGGCCCAGAACAAACAATAAAAATACCACAACAAGAGGAAAACATAGCTATGGAATTTAATTGTTTAATCATTTATTTCCATCTTGTCACCATCACATATTAGAACGTTAGTATTAACTTACTAGGAAATTACTTATGTGTGCTAAAGTAACATAAGCATTACAATTACCCTTAATTACTTTTTATAATTATTATAAACTCGTTTTCCTGGCACTATGTAGTCATTAGGTCCCCCCCACCCTCATGGCCCCCCTCCCGCTGGGCTGAAGGGGTTAAAACCCCTTCAGACACTTACTTTTCTCCAGCGCCGGGCTCACTCGGCGCTGGAGAACTCTCCTCCTCCTGCCGACGTCAGCGCCGAATGCGCGCGTGCATTCAAACCGCCCATAGGAAAGCATTACTCAATGCTTTCCTATGGACGTCAGCGTCTTCTCACTGTGCTTTTCAGTGCTGACTCGGCCCCCTGACAATCCATATCAATCGGGTGGCTTTGACAGCATGGGCCACTCGATGGGCATCTTAACATGCGGCCCCAGCGGTTTGCCGCAAATGATGATGGCGGGAACCCGGTCGCAGGGGTCTGCAGGGCGGCTGGGCCCCCTGGAGTGATGGGCCTGGTCGCAGCTGTGACTCTTGCGACTACGGTATGTATACCAGTGAATATGTACATTTTAGGTCAAAATGGTTGAACTGAAAAAATACTTTGTCGTTTTTTTTCCAGCTTGGATATTGTGGTATAAATTTTAAATTCTCAGTTGATGTTCTGACCAGTAGTGAAAATCCCTGTAACATATTCTGTAAACTGTGAATTGAACTGGATTGGTAAGGAAGTGGCCAAATTTACAGACATTTTGCAAAATCCCTTTTAATTCATTACAATGCACTGTCTGTATATTAAACCAAAGACCAACTAATCAGTTGTGAGAGATCAATTATTACATTACCATTACATATGAACAACTGGTACACTGATTCCAAAATAACAAAAACACGTGTAAATTGTAAAAATAACCTTCTTAGTTTATAATGTAAAGTCTACTACGTTTATACTACAAGTATTAAAATAAGTTTTGTTATAATCTGCTAATTACTGTTTTTTTCATGGAATAAAAACAACAAATATCAGTATTAACTTTTTTTATAATTATGAATTTATTAAAATGAATTAAAAAGAATAAAATATTATATTGCTTACTCTGTATGTTGCTGACTTTTGATGTTTTTTGCTCTGTGTATGAAGCCTTAACCTGCCTAACCTGTCATTGTTTTGAAAAATGTGGTTCTGCAAGAATGCTCAAGATTATTCAATAAGTTTGAATTTTAAATCCAAAAATGACTTTTTCTCTGTTCAGTTTCATCTAGTACATGTCGTTGAGAAACAAAGTATCTATATCCCAGCCATTATGTCTTAAATATACAAATTTGGTTGTTTTTTTTTCACCAGAACCCATACGTTATTAAGAAAGAAACTTTTTTTCCATTAGGCCTTGAGTTATGGAAACTTTACAAGGAAATTTAGGTCAATTTCTAGGAGTGTGGCCATTCTGGGTAAAATCTACAAATCCTTTGTCAATACTCCGCAATTACCCATTTAGTGCATAACTTTCCAAAATGTCCATTTGTTATAGGACCACTTTGAGTGATGGTCTTGCTTACAATGTTGTTCTTGAGGTCTTGATTTTTGACCACTAGAACCACCACAAAAGCAAATGTAAGTTGGAATGAGTTCTGGTGAGGTAGTCAACACTGAGTACCAGGAGCTGTAATGAATCAAAGGAGTCTTATTAAAGAGAATACAGTCTGGATGACACAGAAATAATAATGTGGAGAAGGAGGAAGGAGATACAGCTAAGATGTGGTAGAAGAGAAGATATCAACCATCCATCTTCTGAGTTAGCTAACCGTGGAAATGAATTTCATCCTAGGTAGATGACTACTGCTTGTGTTTATATAACTAGGCTGCTCTCCTTCTAAAAGGGAAAATAAAAGGACTCCAGAACTAACTTCATCTACTCTAGAATCATCCATGCGGAACTTTTAAAGAGGCATTGTTGGGCAGGGCCAGACAATATAGTAGGATATAAAATTAGCTGCACCTACCAGTTTTTGGGGGATACATACCAACAACAGTATGTATGCCACTGAAACTCCTACAGGACTGAAATAGAAATCAGAACTTTCACAAACCTTTGGACAATGCCTCCCAGCTGTTAATCAGACAGCAGCATTAACAGAAGCTGCAGACGTGCTGGGCTAGAGTGAGCCTGTCTTACCCACTTCTCAATGAGCTACATTGCGAAGCACTGGAAAATTGTGAAAGTGCGCATGCTCGCA